GTAATGACTAGTAGAAGCCACTGATAGACATAACCACTACAGTTTTTTCTAATCTTCTTTTGGCAGGACCAGTATGATTCTTGTGTTTTTAATACTATGATTATTCTGGATCAAGGAAAGGGTCTTCAAATTAAAGAGATACTGTGAACACCCAGATGGCCTACCAGTTAATTTAATCCTACCCCACTGTGAGGTTGCTTATTTCTAATCTTTCAGTTCCTGTTAAGATGAATCTCTGCATTGTTAACACTCTTGCAAGATCTAGAATTTATTTATTTATTTATTTATTTATTATTTATTTATTTATTTATCTATTTATTTATACCCCGCCTATCTAGTCATTTCAATCACTCTAGGCGGATTACAACATAAGGATAACAAGTTCTTAAAATTTTTATAACAATTAATTAATTAAATGATTTTATTTAGGTACTGTAGTTGACAAATAGCATGTTTCTGCAATGTATTTCTGCATCTAAGGTCAAAAGCATCTTAAACTGTGTGCATGTGACTGTGGTGTGACAGCACTGCTCTGCTGAATAGTGGTAAAACCCTGTCTAAATCCCTCTGTTCAGTTGTAAGTTCCACACTTCAGTCAAATCATCTGAGGATGATAGATAGTATGGTGGCTGTGTGGGTTAGGAAGGCTGTAATGAAAGCATGAATAGGGATTTTTCAGAAAATGAATGACAAGATAACCAACATTGTTTTAGTAGATCAACACTGCTAATGATATTCTCCACCCTCACATTAAGCAGAATAGCTTTCAGTGATTAGAATAACAATCTCAAACTTGAAAAATTTGTAAAATGTAGAAGAAGTAGATGCAGCAAATACAAGCCATCAGTCTGGCAAGGCAAGAGCTTGTTGGGATAAAGAAATCTAGACTTGAAGCGTTTGTGGCAGACTATCAGAGAAGAGATGTGCAAACTTTAATGGACAACATTTCCACAATAATGGTACATCCCTATTTCTTGTTTAGAACTAGAGTCGTGGAGAGGACATAGAACTAGTACACAAAGAGTGCTCCAAATTGTTCAGTGTCTTTAACATTCTAAATATAGACTGATATCCTGTGGAGTAGCTATATTTGCATAACTTTATATTATGTGAGTGGTAGCTGTAATAGTCCTAAGTTGAATGTTCTGTTCACTTCCACAGGTGCATCGTTCAGTTGGTCATGAGGGGAATTGCATGACTAATTGGACAGTCAATGAGTCATATTTGTTGCCTTGCTGTAATGCCTTGAAGTGTTATGCCTGCATAATTATCTTACATGATAAACAAACTGGATTTTGCCCATATACAGTGCCTTCATATATTTGCTGGTACAACATATCTGTAGAACTATGGTACTCTGCAGGTGGCATTTGGCTAGCAATATCTCTGACCTCAACTACCATACATGATTACTATTATGCTACCCCTCCCCCGCCAAAATATGGTTACGTTTTCACTTTCTTGTATAGAAAGGATGGGCAAGGTCCTGGCACTATTTTTAATAGCTCTAGGATCCTCTGGGGGCAATATCACCTCCTCCAAGTGTGACAAAATGGAGATTTTTTTAAAAGGACACTTTTTTTAAAAAAAACTTGAATTATGCTGAAACAAAGTTTGGGGCTACACTATTTTAAAGGAACATTTTGTACGCCTAGAAGTGCCTTTTTTTCTCCAGGAGAAGGGAGAAAATTGGTGGGTAATTTTTATTTCTGGGAGGCTGTAGGGTTGATTAAAAATAGCCTTCGGATGGCCACATGAGCTCCACCCCATCATACAGTATCATCAAGAGTATATTTGAATCTTCAGATATTATTTTGATGGGGAAGCTTAAATAGAAAGAAATATTTGTAGTAATTTGCACCCGCTCTTAGATAAATATGCCACTGTGTGTAATAGAGATGCAGAAGTCCAAACAAATTCAAAATAATATTTAATTGTTTTAATTTTATGTATAATCTTTTAACATTAACATTATTTCACATGGAATTATTATCACTCATAATAATATTATAATATGTCAACCATTCTCCTTTCACTATCATTTTATCCTGATATCAAACATGCTGGTACATAAGCAATTTATTAATTTTATCATAAGAAAAAAGGATAGGGATTTTAGTACTTCACACTTACTCTGGCTATTTAAATGTTTTGTAGAATATTCTAGGAAGGCCTGTATATATTGACTGTAGCTTATTAATAAAAGCTCCATGGGCTACATCCAATTTTAGTCACATCAAGAATAGACTTATTAACAGGGCTTTAAAAATGCTGCTTGATGAGCCTTACATAGAGATATAGCTCTGCAGGAGAATGTATAGTAGTCCCATGCTGGAAAATATGGAGAGTCCCTGCTCCCAATTTCAACCTAACGAGGACACATCCTGGGGTGGGAGGGAACTGTGGCTCCTTAAGAGGCCGGGCGCTTTTACTTTCAGTTTTATTTTTGCTGGAGACATTCAAAAGAAAGGCATTCAAAATACAAGCTTCATGACCCCACAGGCACACAGGTAATAAAGCAACCCAAGTTTGAGGGTATAAGTCAGTGATTCCCGTGTATGTAATACAATTTATTTTGGGTTTGTACACATTGTTGCGTAGAAATAAAAGTGAACAAGTGCCTAGTTTAAATTTGTTAACATAAATTGTAAGGCTATAGTCCAGTCATGCTGACTGGTGAAGTTTTTGACGATTTGGTGAGACATTCTAAAATTTTTCAAGCTCTGCTTATTACAGTAGTGCCTCGCTTGACGATGTTAATTCATTCCAGCAAAATCGCTGCAGAGCAAAAACATCATCAAACGAAAGGAAAAAACCCATTGAAACGCATTGAAAACTGTTCAATGCATTCCAATGGACTGAACACCTGCTCGTCCAACGAAGATCCTCCATATGGTGGCCATTTTCGGTTCCTGTAAAGTGAGGAATCCATCCTAGAAAACAGTGGGGGGGGGCATTTTCTTCAACCGGTGGCCATTTTGAAACCCGACGATCAGCTGTTTGCTGATCATCGTTAAGTGAAAATCAGTTCCCGAAGCAGGGAACCGATCATCGTTAAACAAAAAAAAAACCATTTAAAACATTGTTTTGCGATCGCAAAAGCAATCGTAAAAACCTAATTGTATAGTGATTTCCTTGTTAAGCAAGGAAATCGTTAAGCGAGGCACAACTGTGAAGTCAGAGGGATTCATGTAAGTGGTGGCTAATAAGTTCCATTCATTTCAGTGGACCTGCTCTAGTTGTAAAACTTAATTTACTCCCACATTCTCTAATAAATTATGCTTGCTTTTATACTTTAAAAACTCATTCATGTGGCAGCTTTTTCCATGTAGAACTCAAATATTTTTGACTAACAATATAAATTGAAATTGTATGCTGGGTTTCTGTTTCTTCCCATACCAGAGATTCATTCACAAGGTTTTGGATCTCTCCATAACAGTTTTTAAGGATGTTTGGTGCAGAGAAAATGTAGGACTTCAAGTTCTGCTTGATAAAAATGTGATTATAATAATTCATGGTAATACTTAGGGTGATGCACCTAGCATGCAACGTGAGAAAGTATGGAATGAGGAGCAGAGTGAGAACACTGGAGCTCAGTGGTGTTCCTTTGATGCACTAAGACGCCAGCTAGAATTTCCACTGACTTGCTGAAGGGTACTGCCATTGGAAGCCTGTGGAAGTAAGCTCACAGGGGCACACCCAGTCCCTGATCTTGTCACAACATGGGAGAAGGAACTTGGTCATTCGCTGAGTTTTGTGGCACTGTCCAACTCAGCTTAAATCACCTTTGAACTGACCCTGAACTGGATGGTAGACCAAAGGTGGCTGTGTTTACTACTAGAGGCTAGTTAAGGAAGCACAACTCCCCCCAAAGTTCATTAATCAGTGATAGATGGGGAAGTAACATATACAGTAGGATTGCATTCAAAGTTCGGATACTTTCTGCAATATAAAATTGCTTGTACATCAGTACATTCTACAGATTAGTAGCTTTCCACTTGATTCAGCACTAAGTGAATATTGGACAGGAACTGGTCAGAGTACTTCTCTTGGCTATTTACAAGGAATTATATAGCTTTCCAGTGTCAGTTACATCAGCATGGTGGGAATGTTCAGGAAATGGTGGTTTAAGTAAACCTCAATCTTGGACACTAAATGGTTTGTGTTACTAGTAATCTGATACTGCAGTTTGCCAGTTCAGCCAGAAAAACAAGCAAAAACTTTCCATTAAGATATTGAAAGCCGTTCTCTGGACATGGAAAGGAAGAGAATAGATCAGTACGTCCCTAGCATCAGATTGAAAGAGGGGTGTTATAACAAAGGAGGTACTTTGTCAGGTTTCTTCTTTGAGCTGGGCATTTACTGTTGCTCTCAAGTGAGTCTGGCAGCACCACATTCTGAAAACATTTATGTTCTGTGGATAGATTACTGACTGGGTGGTGTGATAGGCATTAACCGTGAATGCGTTTTCTTAATTTGAAGTTGTGTTGTTTTTTCAGTGATCTGAATAACTTTAAAAGGTCAGAGTAAACATGAAACTTCAACAGAATTGCTCCTTTCAAAACAGCTCTCAAGTTAGTTCTTTGAAAGAACCGATTTGCACTGCAAAAGCTGTTAACAGTTTTACATAAAGTGTTTTGTCTTTCCTGTTAGAAGTGATTTGGTAAGAATATATATAAATAGATATTAAAGTTTTGTTTTTCAGAGTTCAGTAACTTTTTATGGAATCTTCCATTAGGATCCAAGAAGACTATTTCATATTTTCCCCTATTACACTAATTGAATTTCCTGGGCTAATATACACTCTGCAGAAAACTAGAGAGCTGCTGTTCTGTTACCAGAAGTTCAAGGAGGGGATAATTCTGTTACTAAATACCTACATTTAGGAATAGAAGTTCTTTTGTTGTGATGGATGTTTACACAGTATGCCTTGTTACTCTGCATTTTCAGTAGCCGTTTCCCTGTTGCTCACATCTCTCTCTCTTATGTGTGTGTTTTAGTGGGGGACTTTGATAAAATCTGGCGTGAACACTGTGAAGATGAAGAAACTCTCTGTGAATATGCTGAGGCAATGAAAAACCTGGCTGATAATCATTGGGCTAAAACCTGTGAAGGAGAAGGACGTATTGAGTGGTGTTGCAGGTAAGTCTTTGCATGCTCTAATGAGAATAATGGAGCTTTGGTGATAAATGTGGGAGTCTCCATCTACTAGAGAATAGTTTGTGGAATTATACCTCCTCAGAACTTTTCGATGTATAATTTCTTTCAGATCATAGGTTTTTGTAACTCTAACACTCTCTTGTATCTGAGTAACAAGTGAACAAAATGTGTAGTAGTTAGAAGCATACAAGAGGAAACCTACATCTGTTGAATCTGTTTGGTGGTAGTTGTCATTTCCAGGCCACATGACTGACACCAAACTGGAGTATTAATTAAAAGTATGCATTGCTAGACATGTGAAGATTAAAAGGAATCTTAGTTTGCTCTAGTTACACAAACAACTCATTCTTCTTTGTAGAAAAGATGTTGCCTGTAATGCTCTAATATAAGTATTTATGGACTCTACGCAGTTCTTACATGTAGGAGTGTTTCACCTGTGCCAAACCAATTAGCACACCTGAGTTTAAGAATCAGCAACTTTATATTCATTAGAGATGTAAATTGCAAATTCCAGTAAAAACATTGCCCAAAATGCAGGATGAGGAAGAGTAAAAGAAACTGAAAGTAGGGAGGAAGAGATGAGTGATGGTGAATAGTATTCCATGTAGAGTAGCTGATTGTATAGTGTAATGAATGAACTTTAAATTACTTGATAAATAGTTCCACAATATCACTTTGTATGATTTTAACCAACATTTAATGTAAAACCACATCTTAATTTATAGTTGATATGATGAAAATTAATTTCTTCAAATGATATATCTAGACATGGAATAATTACATTTTGTTCCAAAATATATGAGTACTAAATTGCCTTATAAAATAAAAGTATGACAGCTATAATTCTGAGTTGTTTTGCTTTGTTTTTTCAAAGTGTGTCACGGGAATATTTTCAAAATGGTGGAAAGCGGAAAGCTCTGGAAAAAGATGAGAAGAGAGCAGTTCTTACAGCCAAAAGTGTCCCAACCACAAGTGTTCATCCAATTTCAAAAACAGAAGATTCTTCAGAAAATCCAAACCACAGTTCTATAACAGATGAGTAAGTGTCTCATTAGAGATTAGATGATGGTTGCAGGTATGGTTGTAGGGAGGGAGTTCATTTAAGCATTTTGAAGTCTTACTGAAATTCGGTGTAGAATGCAAGCGTGTCACCTCACTTTCCCATTAATAACACGTACAGAAGAAACAGCAATATAGATGAAAAAAAATAATATGTTTTAATAAATAACTGAATTTTTCTAACTTGAAAAATGCCATGCATTTTCTTGCTTTGAGTATAAATACTATTATAATGTAATCATGTGTGCCACTCTTTGTTCAAAACTTGTCAGGATTCAGAAAATAAAACTGTTAAGAATCAGCATAAGTGTCAGCTCACTAGAAAGGCCCAAGCAGGAGCTGTCTCAGTTTCTATAATAGTGAGATAACACTCTTCTTGAAAGCATCTGTGAGGTGATGATATAGTTGAACTACTATGATATTTAAGCTAAGACCAAGCATAAACATTTAGGTAGCACTTTCCCAGATAATATAGGTCTAATATTAGAAGATGAAGTACTTCCACAGTTGTCTAGTTTGACAGGTAAAGTAATACAAAACTTAAATTACAAGGATATCTCTTAGCCATGTGATGTGTTACTAGAATATTGTATTTCTAAATTATCATTTAGGAAGTGTAAAACATAATATTTATTTATTTTTTATTTTATTTGATTTGTATCCCGCCCATCTGGTCTATACGACCACTCTAGGCGGCTTCCAAATAATGTAGACAAGTAATAAAAATAACACAAAAATATTATATACATCTTCCAATGACAATTTACAAAACAAAATTAGAGTAAATAGTAAATGAAGAAAGAATGAAAAGAAAGAATCAAACATTGACTGGAGGGAAGGCCTGAATAAACATCCATGTTTTTAATTTTTAATGTGATGAACAATGGGAATAAACTAGTGGGGTGTTTTTTTTTTAAAAAAAGTTAAAACCACTGGAATTCTTCTGATACATAAAATCAGTAAACACAAGACACTTGGCCCTACACAGGTTAATTACAATTTTCCTGATAAGCGTAATAGACAGAGAAGAATTTATTGTGTTATGAAGAGATGCAAGCATTGCTCATCAGACTTGGGAAACCTATGTTCCCAAGATTTGTGAGTTTCTATTTGTTTTCTTTTAAACAAATATTTAGATGCTGCTCATAAAAGACACACCAAATTGGCCTGCAAACAAGTATTATAAAAAAGGGAGAGGAAAGAACCTCCCTTGTTTCTTTCCCCAGTGGCTCAGCACTAGCTAATACAGTTTGAAGAGGAAAAACAGATAGGGCTTGGAGGATCAGGGATGAGGTGGGTTGGGGCATATAGATGAAAAGGGTTAGACTAGACTTCTTTGGAAAAACTGCAGCTTCTGTTTCAGACTATTTGGATGTGGGACATCAGCATTGATTTGCTGTGAAACTGCAGGTATGGTATAGTCTTTGTTGTGGTCATTATGATTCACACAAATCGATTTTGCATCTGTCAATGGAAGGTTCTAAAGCTGTCAGCTTCCAAGCCTTTCTGTATATACCATGGATGCTCAGTCCTCTATCCCTTTTTTTAGTCCACTGTGGCAGCAACATCTAAGGTGCACTGTGGATCTCAAGAGGATATTGTAAATAGCTTCCTTAATACTTTCATTCACCTTTTTCCTTATTCTTTTTTTGAAAGAGGAAATAAATAGTATCTTTTCACCTTCTTCCCTCACCCTCCCTTTCAGTAGACTCCCCAGTGCTGTTTCCTGCTTATTTTATGGGCTAAGTGGCTTTAAATGATTTTTTTTCCTGCCTTTTGAGCAAAAGTATCTCAGGTTCATGGCTATAATCAATGTCTTTGCTGCTTACAGAAAGGGCATTTGACCAAAAATTATTTGATTTGCAATGTCACAGAAGTGACATTGAAGAATCATCAGTCTCATTTGAAGTACTTGTTCATGGGAAAATTCCTTGCTCTTATAGAAAGGCACAGACAGACTTGTTCAAAAACAGTTAAAACAAAATGAAGTACCATGGACTCTGGGTCAGGAAACTGCCCCCAGTAACATCAGCATCTATGTTAACTAACGATACTGGGCTGTTGATGTTGAAAATTATACCATTATCAAATGACTTGTTACGGACAAAAGAAGAAGCACCACCGCTCATACTATGGGCACTGACAAAAATTAAAAACAAGGACAAGCCTCATAAAATGACAGAAGTGCAATCAGTTATGGTTCCTGTTAAACCCAACCATCTAATATCTGAGTCACATAAAGAGAATGTTGGTTTAATTTCATGTAGTGAAGCCAGAAATCCTATTCAGTCTTCCCATGTCATCACCTAATCTACCATCTCCAATAACTTTTCTAGTTGAGAGAATTATTGCTCTTGTCCTAAGTCACTTGTTCAAAGGAAGCATTTGAGATCAAGGTCTCTGTCTCAATCAACATCAGAGCATTGTTCTCCACATTACCATGGCTACAGGTGTTCACAGTCACCATCAAGAGATTCTTGATGTGAAGTAGAGACTTGTTTTATGCCTTATCACTATTTATCTCCATGTGACTGGAGGCAAAAATCGACAGGCAGAACTTTAATACAGCAACGTGAGTGGAAACTCTCCTCAATTTTTCAGTTTGATAACTAACAGATGGGAAGTGCCCAGGTAAACATGTTTGCATCTCACAGCAACTGCAAATGCAAGCTGTATTGCTCTTGGATGAGCAAACGGAGACACTTTCACATTTGTTTGGAACGGATGTCTAATGTATATAGTCCCATCATTTTCTTTAATTCATCAAACTACAGTAAAAATCAGACAAGACACTCAGTTATGATCTTATGATCTACCATATTGGCCACTTCAGTCACAGTTCACTACATTACTTCTAACGACACAAGGTAGACTGAGACTGCCATTATATCCAAAAATATTAATGTCTCAGGATGAGACAATTCAACATCCAGAGATAGAGCAGCAGAAAATAGCTGCCTTCCATGAACGTTAGTATGAGTACAAATGGAAATAGTTTATGCATTTGCAGATCAATTCATGTAGTATTCCAGAATCATAGCTACCCTTTAGTTTCTACTACATTTGAAGCAGTGTCACCATTGACAGTTTATTTGGCGCACAAACCTGAAAATCATCCATTTTTGAGCTTGTTCAGCAATCCTCTAAAAATTATTGAGCAGGTTAACCAAAACGTACCCTAATGTAAAGACTCCTCCTATATCCTGGTTGTTGCCTTTATGCTTTATGACTTATCTTCAGTTCAATACAAAGTTATTCTTTATCCTGATATTTCACAACTCTTGACTTGGGCCTTCTTATGCAACCTCCAGTCTCCTTTAGGAAAGACACTATATACCTTGGATGTTAAGAGGGCTTTAGTGTTTTATTTGTCATGAACAAAAGACTTCAGGGAAACCTCTAAACTTTTTGTTTATTACCAAGGATTTAGAAAAGGCCTACCAGGGTCTTCCCAATGTCTCTCTTAAGTGGGTTGCTACTACAATAAAATTAGCTTTAAAACATCAATACCTTATCTTGTTAAAGCTCATTCTACCAGAGTGGTGCCATCAGCAGCAGCATTTATGAGAGGTATCAACTGCAGAGCTGCAACATGATCACAACCACTGACTTCCGTGGAACACTACAAAATTGACTTGCAATCACAGAAGAATGCTTCAACTGGCAGTTCAGTTCTTCCATTTTGGCATGACATCTCCATCCAATAAGTGAGCTTGCTTGTCACCCGTTTGTGTGAATCATAGAGACCACAACGAAAGAAGACAGGTTAACTGTAATTGTAGTTCTTCGAGTAGGCATCTTTGAATTCACACACTCCTGCCCCACCTTTAAATGTCTGTTCGTTATGACAGAAAGAATGGGTCTCATGAGAGAAGGCTGAGTATGTGCAGTCTATACAGAGGGAGAAAGATTTGGAGGTTGATAGCTCTGGAACTTTCCATAGATTGCTTAGTGCAAGTGCAAAACTCTTTTGTCTGAATTCATAAATGACCACTCAAAGAACCACAGATCCAACTAAATATCCTGGCCTTCCTATTTCAGGCAGAATTGCTGGTTATAGGAAACTTATTTGCTTCTCAAAAGGTGGCTTTATATATTTAATTCCTCTCTATTTAGATCACTCCACCCTTCAGGAAAAATTAGACTACTTGACGTTGGCAGCTGTTTTAACCCATTTTTGAAGTTTGAAGAATTTTTGACTGTTGGCATTGATATTGTCCCTGCTGTTGAGGTATGAAATAGTATGATCACATAAATAAATCATAACATATCAACTAGTACTCATTGGCTTCTACCAGTGTTCTTTTCAGCATTCAGTTTTTCCAGAACAATGGAATAATATATCAAAAAATGTAAAACTCGTAATGAAATTAATATTACTGTGCTTTAGAGATTATAGCAGTTTTGCCATAGCTTTGGTAAGATCTACTAAGGTGCTGTTTATTTTTACACATATATGCTTCTAAATTTGATTTGGATGTCATAGCAGGATTTGAGTAATCCCTAATTTGCCCAGATGTATGAACAGATTGGGTTTTTCGCCAGACATTTTGCAGTATTACTTTAACTTTCTTAGGTCAATGTTTTCACACTTCAAGGAAAGTGTGTTTAATTGGTTAATTTATTGCAAATATGTTTCTTTATTAAATATGATGTCTGTAATCGGATTTCACCCTTACTTTAAATAACAGGTTGTAATGTGATCACCATTATATTCTGAGCATATGTAATTCCATCTGTGTTTCTTCCTCCAGAGTGTCTACAAATGTGATTTCTTAAACCTTCAGATTCAGCAGCCTCTTCAACTAGCACAAGATGCCATTGATGCTTTTCTGAAACAGCTAAAAAATCCAATTGATTCCCTGCCTGGAGAATTATTCCATGTTGTGGTCTTCTCCCTCCTCCTTTCTTACTTCCCTTCACCCTATCAACGGTGGATATGTTGCAAAAAGGCTCATGAACTTCTAGTATTAAACGGATTGTTGCTTATTATCACTCCTGATTCTTCCCATCAGAATCGCCATGCTATGATGATGAAAAGCTGGAAAATTGCTATAGAATCACTGGGTTTTAAACGTTTCAAGTATTCAAAGTTTTCTCATATGCACCTGATGGCATTTAGGAAGATCTCACTTAAAACGACAAGTGATTTGGTAAGCAGGAACTATCCAGGAATGCTGTACATCCCCCAGGATTTCAACAATATAGAAGAAGATGAGTTTTCTAATAATTTCTGCTATATCCGATCAGATGCCGAAGATGAACAACTGGCGTACAGCTTCATGGAGCTTCCAGATGCTCCCTATGACTCAGACTCAGGAGAAAGCCAGGCCAGCTCTATCCCGATTTATGAGCTAGAAGATCCTATATTGCTTCTCAGTTAATGTAATACTTTAAGTCCAAACTACTGTAAAACTAATTTTCCTAAACTGACATCATTTCTGTGCATAAAGCATTTGCAAAAGGAAGTGCAAAGGATTTTGAGAACTGTCCCTATTTTTTTCTACTTAGGAATTTTAAAATTTATTCTTGTACAGAAAAGTTGAAGTATGTCTTATGCAGAATGGCTTAAGTCATAGCATAAACAGAGTTTACTCTAATATTTGTATCAGTAAAATACTTCAGAAAGGTACCCGTCCCCCAGTGCTGTGAACTGTGATTCTGAAATATGTGCTGATGTGTCTTGATTCAGTATTTTTATATCTTTATTGGTTGAATTTCATGCTGGACGTTCTCAGAAGTTTGAGCAAAAAAAAGGTACCCTAATCAATGGAAATTAAATGTTTAGGAAAGATGTTTGGACAGCTTTATTACCTTTTGATTTGAACAAAAAAATGGCATAGGGATGGAATTTTGCTTGAATTGGTCCTGATCTAGTGAAGTGAGAATATCTGCAAAGTGGGTTCACTGAAGTTGTCTTTAGTTAAACAGTTGGATTATTCTGCAGAAAGTCATTGTCTTGGATAATACATAACATATATAGGCGTAAGCAGTCTTTTCCATCCCTTCAGAGTTAGAATATTATTGTCTCTTTTATTATTATATTAACATTGTTTAAATGACAGTTTTTTACCCTGTTTTCACAAAGTATTTTGCGGTAGATAACTTAAGTAATAAATGGTCACTTCCATATGTCTCAGATTTCATGAAAGTACTAAAGGTTTGATCATCCCAGCCCTGCAAACTTTTATTAACATTTTTGTAAGGTTTCCCATCACATGTGAGTGAAAATACTGTAATAGGAAATACTTGAATGTTTCAGAGACTGGCTAGTGGCCTGGAATGCTCACCTGCCATATGAAAGTTTTAAAGATATTCAGAAACTAAGAATTTTCTTTATTTGATAGTAAGCTTAAAAGTACATATTAGGCTAAATCCTGTACTAGTCCCAGCTATAGCAGACCTATTGAAATTAGTGGAATTTCCTGATTTCAGGAAGCATAAATAACATCCCATTAATTTCAGTGAGTCTGATTGAGTTAGGACTAGATTGGTTTTGGCCTATTGTCTTCAAAAGCCTGTACAGTTTATTTTAATAGTGACATGAATACCAACTTATTTGCATCACAGTTTCTGCACTCCTGTAGTTAAAAATCATTTCACTAAGCATCAGCTTCAAAGCAGTTTTAATTGCTTGTCTGTGGGTTTGGACTGGTACATGCTGGAATGTAAAGGCCCAAAAAAGACATAATAGTTTGACAGTTTCAAAAGTGAGGGTGGTAACATTAGCCAAGTATTACACAGGTAACTGTCATTTCAGGAGGCAACTTGAAAGCTCTCTAAGCCCTTCCATATAAGAGAATCCACACTTCTATTAGTGTGCCCATGGGCACGCCAAATTGCATAACAGCAAATGCCTATGGTGATGTTTTAGCGAATTAAAATTCAGGACAGTGGAGTTATGTTGGCATAAATGCATACTATGGCCAGAGTTTTGACAAGCTCACTGACTAAATGTGGGTAGTGGCAATAACTATATTAAAGACTGACATAAAACAAAGCCCTAGAGGCTGTCAGGTTCTTGTGCTGCTGATCCTGCTGTAAATCTACCACAGCAGTAAATCCAGTAGCAAGTAAAGACAAGCTGGTATGATCTCCTGTCCAAGCAGTGATAGACATAGGGGCCCTCAGTGACAGGTGGCAAGGGCAGAAAACAGGTATTCTTGCTGACACTGCTCCCCCCCTCCCCAGATCTCTTTGTATAGTGTTTCTGTACTCAGGGTTTATGTCTGCAATTGAGGGCAACAGCTGGAATGAGTACTGGTGCTGAGAACGGCCTAAGTGCAAGCCTAAGTGACCTCTTTCCTTTTGCACCAGCATTGAGATTCCAATACTTCATTCTATCATCTTTCTTAGTTTAACACAGTGGTTCCCAACCTTGGATAACCCAGGTGTTCTTGGACTGCAGTTCCCTGAAGCCTTCACTGCCAGTTGTGCTGGCTAGCATTCCTGGGAATTAGAAGCCTTCACTGCCAGTTGTGCTGGCCAGCGTTCCTGGGAATTGTAGTCCAGGAACATCCGGGTTACCCAAGGTTGGGAACCACTGGTGTAACAGATGCGGTTCTTCAGAAGTTGTATACCAAATGTTTTAAGGTTTTGTTCTAGCTAGCTGTCATGTAAGTGAAATTAATGGATATAGTATGAACTAAGTAAAGCGTAGGCTGGATGTAGCCACCCACTTGCCAGGCCCACAACTAAAGGTTGAAGTGGATGAGTTCTACATATGACAGTGGATGATATAGGCCAATCTTGTAGGGTGACAGATATTGACATATCACAGCAACCCACAGGCTTTTGTAGCCCTTGAACAAAGCAAGCTGTTGATCAGACAAATAGATGTTGCTAAATATACATAGCCAGACTTTTAAAGGTTTACTAGTTCCTTTTTAGTATTATTGCAGTTGTTAAAATGAACATGTTGGGTGCTATCCTTTCATTACAAAATACTGGTTACTTCTCCGAAACGTGTATGTGCTGTTTAATATTAGCAAAATTCTTTAAGATTCTTTAGCAGACACATTTTTGTTATACTGTGTATGTTAATGTCATTGTTTTCTTATTCATTCACATGCTGGATTTTGGGTCATGGTGTATGTAGATGAAATAGCTTAAACTGAATGGTAGAAATTGGCTAAACTTGGTAAAAGTGTTATGGGTCTTTCATTAGAGGAACAGTGAAGGGGGAATGGCAGTGGCCTAATGTAGATACTGTACCTCTTTCAGTGCCCCCTCCATTTTATGATGATTTTTAAAGGAACTCTTGGCTACAGTTCATTGGATAAACGGTCTTTTTAGAAATGTAGCTCTCAAGAGGGTTGTATAGATCTGGGAGACTACTCAAGATTTTAAGTTTATTGATAAGTAAACGATCCAGATCTATGCAAGAAACAAAGACTACAACCAAATTCTGCATTTGTTTTGGGTTCATTAAGTTCTGTGGGAGAGCACATTAAAAAGTATAAACAGCTTTTCAAGTGTTGTTGGTGTGTACTGTTTCATCCAGTTTGCTTTAGATATCCAGGAAACACAACTGCAATGATTATTTTGTTTCAAAGGAGTGTATACAGTAGAGGATTTTTTCACACAAACCACAGTATTTTACGGTTGCACTTTTATCAGATTTTATACATGATAAATGTGATTATTTATAGAGACATTAATCACAATGAAAAAAGACTAAAATAACTACATTACAGAACATTTGAAAAGCTAGCCATATTGTGAAAATATATTAATATTGTAGGGAATGGCTGGTGTGTACTAGGAGCTTGTATTTAAAATGGCTTGGGAGAAGGCTGGGATATAAATGAAGTAAAAATCTCGGTTGTTAAAGGGGCGTGGGGGAGGTGTAGGCGCTACACTAGAGAGGGAAGGAGACATGAGGGGAGAGTTGCATCCACACCCAAAAAAGTAAATGGCAATTATATAAGAAAATACTCCGTAGAGGGCATGCTAGCCCTACTGCGCCCAGCCCGCTTTTCCTCTTGGACTTCTTGCAAATGCTCAGTCAGCTCTAGATCTGGCCCTTGAGCTTACCTTGAGGCAAGTATGCAACATGTGAAAGTGTGCTGTGATGGGAGTGGTCATTTGTCCCGTCCTGTGCATGCCTGCATCTGTTGTGGAGTTGCACACTTTGCAATGAACAGCTGTCGCCTTTTCCAGGTGAGACCACATTGGGCGCGGGGGGGGGGGTCGGGCAGCGGGATACAACAGCTAGCCCTCCCTGACGGCACGCCACCGCCTACGTTGCTTAGGGGTGATGCGGGTGCAGGAAGTCCAAACAAATTCGGAGCAGGGGTGAGACCCCGTTTGCTCTTCCACCAAAGCGAAAGGCTTGGGCAGAGTCATGCCACAGATAAAGGGTGAGCCGCGCTGGAGGGTTTTGCGGAGGAGGGAGATGGCAAGCGAACTGGCATCAGCTTCGTGACTCGCTTAAGGAACAAAAGAAAAGAGAACTCCCGCTTCTTCTAAACGCTGCCCACACGAGCCTGGAAAAGTTACCCTCTCGCCCACAACTCCCAGAATCCCTCAGCTAGCCTGGCCGGGGGGCTTCTGGCCGTGGGTAGAGAAAGGATTTCAAAGGCAAAACTTTTGGCGCGCCCTTTCTCCCGACCTCGTCCTCCTCCCGGATTGTACTGACTAGGGTGTTTACGGGGGATTGCAAGGGACGCCTCTTGTGGGCATCCACGCAGCAGGAACGGGACTGAAAAGCATCTACCACCCAAGCTTTTCCTACGGTAGGTCTCGCTGTGTCCCCTGCGGAAAAGCCATCCGCTAACTCCAGGTTCAGCGAGGCCGAGGAACAGTCCTTCTTTCTGAGGCAGCCTCCTCTCACTTGGGGGGCTCCTCCTGCCGCGCCGAGGACTGGGCCGCTTTCCTCCGCTCGGGGCCGAGCGCGGCCTGGTTTGAGCCTTCTCGCTCCCCGTAGCCAACCGGAACCCCCGAGGAGGACGGGCTAAAATGGCGGCGGGAGGGGAACTTTTCCGAGCAAGCGGTGGATGGTGAGTGCTGAGGAGAGGGGCCGTAGGCCGGCGTGATAGCCTGAGCGGCGTAGTCTTCCGTGGCAAAAGGGACCTGAGGGGGCGGAGAAGACGAGGTGGCAAAGAACTGGGAGTTCAACCGGACGCGAGGCTTTGGGTTTCCTGACAGAAGCGCGAAGTATTTACTTCGCCCAAGCTACAAGTGGCGGGTGCTTCTCTTCTCCTTTTCCATCTCTCGCCCCCCGATATTTTCCCTCGCTGACTGGAGCTCACGCGTCCTTCTTGCCTCTCAGCCGGCTGATTGGCTCTCACGAGGTTGTCCCCCCCCCCTTGCTCCGCGTTTTGGCTTTTAGACTAGAGGGCTCTTCCTGGTTCCTGGCTGAGGGACAGGAGAGCTCCGTCAGCCCAAGCAGGAGGGGAGAACTTGTGTGCCTTTCCGGAGCAGCGGCCGGAGAGACAATCAGACATGCGTATCATATGTCTCACAGCTATATACAGTATCTATACGTACAGTACTGTATTTTCAAAACCCGCAGAATTGTTTACGCTTGACTGATGGTGGTGGTGATAGTAATAAGAGCAATAAGGACGAGACCACCGTAGGAAGGCTCCTAAGAGGCTTCCGTGGTCGGCAGTTGATAATTTTGGACCAGAGCCCAGATTTTTTTTTTTAATTCCCGAAGGGTAGGGGGAGTAGTGAGTGAATCTGTGTGCTGTGAAAATACAAAAATACAGATTTTTTTTTAAAAAGTCCTTTAGCTGTGCCTTCTATGTTAAGATGAGTCATCTTTGTATGCATTTTAACATTAGGGCCTGTTTTAGGTCATTCTAAGGGGTGAAGTACAGTATATGATTTAGTTTAATCCACCATTTTGGAGCACTCCTCATAGTACACACTGTCCCACAACAGGGGTGACATGCCCAGGCTCCCTCCTTCGGTGGAGTATTGTAGACCAAATCGGGGTGTATCACCATCTTCCCACATCCTTGCGTGCACGGAAACACTATTACTTTCCATTCTTGCATCTCGTAAATAGTCTCACTTTCTTGCGGGATCTCTGGGTCAGGGAGTAATCCTCCCACCTTCAGGTTGGGGAAGTCCTTTAATAAATCCTGCCCCTTTTCATATTTCTTTTCCGCTCCCTCTGATTCCTTCCTTGCCTTGTGTCCTCCACTTTCCTTCCCTGCCACTCTACTACTGAAGTGTCGTTCTTTCATTTTCTTGGAATTTAATTTTGTTTTCAGGGGTCGTTGGATTTAAGTGTCTAAATAAATAAATAAATAAATAAATAAATCACTGCGGGGAGGGGGGCGATGATAACTTCCTCAATGGCTCAAGGGGGCGTTTCTTTCAAAAAGGTTAAGAACCACTGGTCTAAACGAAGATAAAGCATTGCTGCATTGATTGTGTTTTAAGATGCAACAATTATAAATAATTCTACTGAAATAGCAAACATGGAAGTATTTTTGACCAGGGGTCTGGATGTCCAAATTCTTCAATAAGACATTGGGGAGGACCATGCCCCTTGATGTTATTTTGTCCCTTGCCAAAATACTGGCTGGGGTTTTTCCAGCTGGTACCTCAGCAAGGGGCTTTGCTTCAGCATTATTTCATTGGAAAAATGAAGGCCTAGCAAAGCACTTTTGGCACTTAGAGATTCAGGACCTACCCAGCTCCTCATCACATGCTGGGAAGGCAGCTGAGGGATAGCAGCTGGGTCCAGACTTCAGTTCCTCTAAACCAGTAGTAGGGAATTTCCAGCCTTCAGACTTAATCCAGTCTATTGGGATTCTCCAATCAAACCTACAATTTTGTCCACCCCATAGTTCTATCTGCTGAGACGTGGGGCAGGACATTAGCGCTATTGGGCAGCACCTCCTTCAATTTACTCTACCTTTAGCATCCTCACAATTGGGGAGGAGAGTGCATGTGAAGAGTTAAGCTGCCTGCAGTCAGCCCCTGCTTACAGATCTGGCTCATGAAGTGCTGAGATTCACTTTCTTCCCCCTACTTTTATCTCCTCCTCCCACATAGTTATAACTCCTCCCCTTTTCTTCCTTCCTATTCCTCTATCAGACAAACCTCTATCTCCCTTTTCCCCACCTCCAATTCTCCTGTCATTTTTCTTGGGTTCCCCTCTTTCAACTCTTTTTCAGGTCCTGCAGATGAGGATGGCACACTTGTGTCCTGCTCTCCTTCACACCTTTACAAAAAAAAGATAACTAAAACCAAGTCAACTGGGGGCTCAGTAACATCAGAGGTCTTTAACAAATCTGACATTGCTTTCCCTAGGGAATAAGGGGAAAACATCTCACCACACCAAACAAGTTTCCCTCCCTTACCCCTAAAATTTCATCCTGATTTGATACTTTATTTTTTTCCAGGTTCAAGATATAAAGTGAATGCCACTTTCAAATTGGTATCTTTTAGAACAAGATTTTGTTCCAAAAATTCTATTCATACCAGTAATTAGGATATCATATATATATTTACTGGGAAAAGTTATCTGGAGATTTGGTGTCCATTGTCCTCAATATGCTGATGAAACACACAACTCTCTCCTTTTCATCTTCAGTAATGGAAGCTGTGCAGACGCTGGAGTGCTGCCTAGCTATGGTTATGCAGTGGGTGGGGACTAAGAGGCTGAAATTGAATCCTGACAGAACAGAGATTCTATTGTTGGAAGGGAACCCTGATTGGTTGGAGGCTGCTTACATGGTCTAGATGGGGCCACACTCCCCCTGAAAGATCAGGTTCACAGTCTGGGTGTGCTTCTGGACCCAGCCCTCTCAATGGAGAATCAGATCTCAGTCATTGCCTGGTCCACCTTTTTCCAGCTTAGGCTAACAATATTGATTCATGCTCTCTCAATTTTGAGGATAGACTATTGCAATAGTGGGGCTCTATGTTATGGGTTGCCACCCTGAGGGAGTCCCAGAAATCAATAACTTGGAACTTGGGTCTTCTCTTTGGTGGCCACCTCACTGTGGAACTCCCTCCCAGTAGAGATATGACTGGCCCTTCCTTCCTTGGCTTCAGAAAACAAGTTGAAGACATGGATGTTTACACACGTCTTCCACCACTTTACCCTGAATTAATTTTGTCATTATGATTACTGGCTTCCTGTACTTTTTGGAACAATTGTCTCTCCTTATCTGTGAAGCTTCTCAGTCGTCCAGGTGTAGTTATCTGGAAGTTGAGTCATGGCAACTGGACTTCTTTCTTGTTAGGTTGAAATATTTTGCTGCTCCTTCAAGTAGCTTCTTCAGCTATATGTTTTTTTGATGTTTTAATTTTGATTATGATTTAATTTTATCTTATGTCTATGTTGTGATATTGTGAGCTGCATCTGGTGAATGGGCTTTTGTTCCCCGTTAGAACTAAGAAACCCTGTAGATACACTGGAGATGAGTGCAGAACAGAAAGTCCAGTCTCAACAGAGTAACATTAGATTAAGCTCAAAGTTTGTAAATTTGATTTTAACTGTACAACCTGAAATTCGTGTGCTTTTTTTTCCAGGATTTCTGTCATCTCTGGCAATTGTTGATGAAGCAACACTACAAAAGGCTGGTTTTGCCCCACACATCCTGGACGAAATTTGAACACTTATTTTCTGTCAAGTGAATGCAGACTTTATTAGTCAGCTTACATGTGTAGGTCTCTGCGTTATTGTGTTAGCCATTGTCTCTATGCAGCAATGACAAGACTGGAAGAAGCAAACCGAGAAGTGAACATGCATTCCTCTGTCCGGTATATGGGCTACTTAGCCAGAATTAATTTATTAGTTGCAATATGTATGGGCCTGTATGTCAGATGGGAGAAGACTGCAGATGCATTAATACTTGTTATTTTTATCCTGGGACTTTTTGTTCTTGGAATTGCCAGTATACTTTATTACTATTTTTCAATGGAAGCAGCAAGTTTAAGTCTTTCCAATCTTTGGTTTGGATTTTTACTTGGCCTTCTCTGTTTTCTTGATAATAATTCTTTTAAAAATGACATTAAGGAAGAAGCAACTAAATACTTGCTTCTTTCCTCGATAATTATAAGAATATTGTACACTTTTGTGCAGAGGATATGTGGCTGTGTTCATCATCAACCCACTTTGCTGACAACAGTTGAGTTTCTTGAGCTAGTTGGCTTTGCAATTGCCAGCACAACTATGCTAGTTGAAAAATCCATGAGTATTATCTTACTGGTTTTGGCTTTGGCAATGCTGATTATTGACTTGCGGATGAAGTCTTTCCTTGCAATTCCAAATCTGGTAATCTTTGGAGTCCTTGCCTCTTTATTGTTTTTTCCATCTTTAGAAATACCAACCAATCCATTTGCCTTGGGATGTTTTTTTTGCTGTCTAATAACAAACCCTCTTCTTGACATCTACTTCAGTGGACTTTCAGTTACAGAACGTTGGAAGCCATATTTGTATCGTGGTAGAGTCTGCCGAAGATTTTCAGTTATTTTTGTTGGGCTTGTTGAACTTATTTTTTTCATTCTGTCAGCCCTTAAACTGGGTGATTTGGATGTCTGGTATTTTGTGATACCAGGCTTTTCCATTTTTGGCATTTTCTGGATGGTCTGCCACATAATTTTTCTTATAACTCTCTGGGGATTTCATACAAAAATAAATGACTGTCACAAAATCTATTATACACACAGGACAGAGAACAACAGCCTTGATAGAGTTATGGCATCAAAAGGAATGCGTCATTTTTGTTTAATTTCAGAGCGACTTGTTTTTTTCAGTCTTCTTTCAACAGCAGTTTTAGGTGCTGTCTGTTGGCAGGTATGTTATAATGCTTTTACTTTGTGTCCTGTTGCTGGTGTTTGAAGCAACTGCAACAGAGGAATTGTTTCTTAATTTGTGGAATGTAACAACCACATCAGAAATGTACAAGTGAACCCATCAACCAGATACTCTCCTTCGAGGCCTTTTTCTGACACATAATGACATTTAAGCAACAAAATTTTGCCAGATTATTGGAAAACAGTGAATACATTGTGAAATGTTACTTCAGGTTGGAATAAGTGCTTTAAACATTCATTTGTGTAATAACTTCGAAGCTAAGCTTGTTGCTGTAGTGTAGCGTAAGTCAAACAAATAAATTTGTTAGTCTGAAATGTGCAAGAATATTTGTTGTTACTGGAAAAAATGTTTACCTCCCTGAAAAAAGGCTGGTACTGTATTGCATCTGTAAATTCTTCCAGTATGTAATCCCAACTACAGCTGACTGGGAGCCAAGCAATGAGTGAGAGAGTGGGAAAGATACATTACTTACATGTGTAAAATTCATGGAGTTGATAGGCACTGAATGGCTGATATCAGATGGGTCAGCTTTAAGTCTCCAAATGCAGCTGTTTGTTTCACTCCATAGGAGCAGTGTTTGATTGGAAATAAAGGATCTCCTTGTCCATTCCGTGTACCATAGAATTCAAGAAGAATCATTGAGAATTTGTTCTATTTCTGTCTGTTTATCACTACTCTGTTGGTGAGATGCTAATGTGTGACACATTTGGAAATGCACAGTAGTCCACACAAGGACCATTTTGTAACTCTTTTCCTAGTTTGCCCAAATAGACACCTGTATTAAGCTACTCCAAATGCTTCCTTTTTGAAATTGGAAGAGAAGGATACAATTAATCTAATAAATAAGTAAATATATTAAAATAAATCATAATATTTGTATACTAGTTGTTTTGTAAAGTCTAATATCTATATATTTAAGTATTTATATTTTTAAGGAAATAATCATGTTAGAGCTTCAGTCAGTATAGCAAACTGTTTACAGTATGAGGATTTTATGACCATCAGTAGTGGTGGAAGCCATCATTTCAGATTATGATTAAAGAACAGTAAATTAGCACAGCTTGAGAGTGCAGTGATGTTATTGTGCTTGCAGAGCAAATCAACATTCTACAAGGCAATTCTAAAAATGGGGCAGTCCAAACAAAAATTATAACTTTGAAACTGGACTTTGGATGAGCACCACACTAAGCACAAACATGGCAGTCAGTCTCCTCTTGCTCAGTTCCAAATTTGGGGAAGGTTGGGCAAAGAGTGTTTGAGTTAATATACTTTTTTAAAGTGTTCACCTGTCCTTGTGCAGAAACAAATGACCTTAAACATCCCCAGATTAAAAGACAAAATAAATTTGAAACCCATCTTGCTTATCTTTAAAGAAAATGATTGGTTCCACCCTTTTAAAAAAATTCAAAGGAATTCAGGCTAAAAGGGCTGAGACAGTCAAAAAGGGCTTTCAAAGGGGTAAAACAGTGGCCTTCTTGTAAACTGAGTGTGTATAGAAGAGGCTCACCCAAGACATTTCCAAAGGAGATACATTGTTGTACTTTTCTAGCCTGTGAAGGGAAATGCACTTGCAGGGCAGTGAAAGGTCACAGGAACCCTCAAAACATAAGTTTTCTTTGAAGACTTAAAAAACTATTTTGCCTAAAATAAAGTAGTGTAGTGACAATGATCTAGAAAAGGGCATTTTCGCATGTATCTTCAGGGAATTAGCATACAATTTTGTAAGGCATATTCAAAGTATTTCTGCATTTATTACTGTGTTTTTGCAAAGTTGTGTAGTATAATCCGGTTTTTATTTTGAAAGTCATATTTTAATATGTTGTGAAATTAAATTTGATTACATCAGAATTGGTTTTTCAAAAATGCATTTAGAAATTGCTACACAGTAACTCTAAGTATCTTATTTGTTATAGAAATCCAATGGAATCTTCATGAGTGTGTTTCTAATTGTGTTGCCTCTTGAATCGATGGCTCATGGCCTATTTCATGAACTGGGAAACTGTTTGGGAGGAACATGTGTTGGCTATGCAGTTGTGATTCCTACCAATTTCTGCAGGTACCCTGATAAATAGTTTACATGTTAACCATTAATAGAGATGTTGCATATTATTTTTTGTGCCAACCTCTTGTGTGTCACTCAGTGACTCAATACTGATGTGTTCACTAAAGCTTCATGAACTACTTTTTTGTTCAAGTTTTGCTACTTCTCTGCTGAATGGGAAGGGGTCATATGTATGTCTACACACTTAAAATTAAAAATTATTTCCATGTCATTTCAGGCTGGGAATATGGGCAGTTCTTAGGAACTTCCTTCAGATCTAGAACAAAAGGAGATAGCAGTGCCATAGAAACTGATCTTTCTGTGTGGCATTCTATTAGAGTTGAGTGATATGGGGCAGTAAAATAAAGAACATGGCTAGGATCTCAAGATTGTAGAGTTGAGTACAGGTGATCATCTCTTGAACTTTCTTTGAAAGACTTTGTCAGGTAATGACACAATAGAGAATGAATGGTTTTTCTCTTGTCTTGTTTCTGTACACTTGCTGACAGTGACTGCTCCTTATTCAGATGGTACACCACTGCCTGGGCTGAACATCCCTTTGTACGAAGATATTTCCTTTATACAGTGGTGCCTCACTTAATGGGCGCCCCGTTTAACGATGAATCCGCATACCGATGAAGATTTTGCGATCACATTGCGATATTCTCTATGGGGAAAAATCACTTTGCGATTTTTCCCCATACCTTCCCCCAGCTGACTGGCGGGGGCAGGTGTTCCCGGCCCTCCTCCGGCAGTGGCGGGGGTGAGGGGGTGGCTGGGGGAGAGCCGGGAATCAGGGCAAAGCCTGGGTGTTCCAGCGGCCGTCCTCCCAGCGGCGGCGGCGGAGACAGGGCTGAGGAGTGTGTCTCCACAGGGGTGGGTGGGAGGTCTGCCTTTGCAGCCTGGTGGTGGTGGCGACTGGGGTGGGGGAGAGCCAGGAGGAAGAGCCAGCCCCGGCTGCTCTCCTCCCGGCATCTGCAGTGGCGACGGGGATGGGGGTGCTCTCCTCCTGAGCCCTCGCTCACCCGCTGCCTAAGGGCGCCCGATGTCTCCCGGGCTGGCTGGCTGGCGAGTGAGCGCGTGCCGGGTGGATGGCCCGCCCTGGGCGGCTGCCTCCGAGCCCTCGCTCGCCTGCCACCCAAGGATGCCCGGTGTCTCCCGGGCTGGCGGGCTGACTGGCGAGGGAAACCCCCCACCGCCACTGCCGCTTCTTTATAGCTCTTTCGTTGGGGTGAAAGAACTACAAAGAAGCAGCCTCTTTGCCACCAACGGTTAGTATATTTAAATTCCCGGCCATTTTCCTTGCCTTTTTCCATTCGTCTCAAAGCTCCGTATGCAAGTCAAAGCAAAATTTTGTGAATGGAGCTGTTAGTAAATCAGTTTGTTCATAGGTCAGGGCATTCGTAAGTCAAGGCACCACTGTACTAGACACTGTAACCTTAAAGTATAAGTAATCACAATAGCAAAGAGGCTCAAAACTTAATTCCATGTTATAAATGAACTGTATCATAAAGCAGGAACAAGTACCATTAATAGCAGAAGTTACTTTATGGTAACATCTCTTTTTCCCCCCATCTTACTCCCGTCTCAGTCCTGATGGCCAGCCAACCTTGCTTCCACCTGAGCATGTACAAGAGCTTAATTTGAGATCAACAGGCATGCTTAATGCCATCCAGAGGTTTTTTGCATATCATATGATTGAGACTTATGGCTGTGACTATTCTACAAGTGGACTTTCTTTTGATACACTTCATTCCAAGCTGAAATCTTTTCTTGAGCTTCGGACACCCGATGGACCCAGACATGATACCTATGTGTTATATTACAGTGGACACTCTCACAGTTCTGGAGAGTGGGCACTTGCAGGTAATCTGTTTTTGATAATCTTTTCTTGGATTTGTGTGTTCTTATATATAGTTGATTCTGACTTGCAGGTGTTCTAGATATAAATTGCTCTGAAGTGGTTTACCAGTTCCTCCTTCTAGTCCCTCTGGGACCATGTAGCCATGTGCGCTCTGGATGATCTCAGCTGGCCCCTATCCTGGAAGATACAGTGGGGATTCAAACTCTTCCTAGCTCCAAGGCCAGTCATTTATTCTTAGGAAAAGTTTTAGTATTAAAAACTGGCTCATATTCTCAAGATGCTATAAATCAATAATGATCATTGTGCACAATATCAACATCAGGCTGACTTATCTATAGTTTCCACAAATTGAACATAGAGACATTTCTCCACCTCTTGTTTTCCAGCAACTTTCAGATTCTTCAGGAATTCTCATCTATTACAGTCAGTGCCTCTGAAGCAACATCCACAAGCTCTCATCTTGAGTTACATATGAATTACATCATGATATGGAATTCATATCAGTTCTTGTAAAGTGCCATACAATTAGAATTTCCTGTTTATCCTGTTTGTTTCCCACACACCATGCATTATTATATAGAGGAACTGGATGTTGCATCTGGGTTCCTCCATGGGTGAAAAAATTAAGAAGAGATTGCAACAATAAAAATATAAACATCCAGTTAGGATTCCAAATAATTCTTCAGAGGGATTATTTAGCATAGCATGATAGTATTATCTGTGAGCTTTAATGACATCGTTATGTGTGGTTTACAGTAGTGGAATTGTTCAATGATGTTGCTGCATTGTTGGAGGCTTAGTAGTTTCACAGTGGTATGTAAAATAAACTGCTAAGTAGTCATACATAAACCATGAGCAGCAAAACAACATGGAAAGTTAAGTTCATTGACTGAATGTAGAAACAAGGTTTGGGCAATAAAATTTTGTCTATATTACTGCAACTGCCTGCTTAACTGCTATCTCTAAATATGCATATACATAGTATGTATTATTCCTGTATTATGTAATATTCCTTCTTGGAACTGCAGCACATGAATAGATGAAATAGGAAAAAAAGGAATTGGTGATTCTTTGTCAACATGAATTGTGCCCAAACGCTTATCTTCTACAAAAATCCTGCTCCCAGTAAATGTTTGATTGATTGATTGCTTGTTTTAATGGCATTTTTGTACTTTTCTTTAACTAGATTGTTTTCTTTAACTGGACTCTACTGGGAAGAAATAAAGTTAGGAACAATTTTGTTCAGAATTGGGAAGTGATTGTTATGCTTGGATTCTGCTCTCCCAGAACATTTCCATTCTGAAAAACATTTCTCCACTATTTTGTCAAGTCTGGAGATATCTTTGGGTCCTTTTTAAGGAGAAAGGCAGGGGAAATATTAAATGAATAAATCTCCCCCGCTGGAGATTTGAAGTTCCTTTGGCCTTTTACAAATTGGATAATTATTGTTCCATTGCTGACACAGATCTCTACACTTTTGTTGTCGTTTGCTGGTTGTTGCAGTTGCATCTTATGTACTATTTAAGTGAGGAAATCCTGCATTAGTTTGACCACTTTTCCAGAAGACTAGTTCAGTGTTTGTTTGTTTGTTTTTTATTTTGCCCCCTAAAAACTGGTGAAAGTCTTAGAACAATGAAGTCTTTTAATTAAAAATTAACTGCTCCCACAAATGCTACTTAATGGTTTAGATAGCTACTCTAGTTACCTTGCCTACAGCTTCTAAGACTATTATGAAAAAGTCCTAGAAAGAACATGGAATCCTAGTAATATTACATCTCTTGCCTGTTCTAAATGCATTAATTCTTGGTTGAGGAGCTTGATTTTCAACTTTTTTCAGTTAAATTGGTTCTTGAATACCTTTACTATGTCTATTTGAAGAGCCTTGTGTGGAGCAGAAGCCCCTAGATTCTACTTCCTGAATGGTAGGTGTTTGGTTGTTGTTGTTTTAATTTTTACTGGTAAATCATGTCTCTGTGCCATGGTTGCATATACAGTGCAGCAAACATCCCACTCTTTTGATCTGTAAGATCACTGTAGAAACTGATCTGAATGAGACAACATTATGGACCACAAATACCTACATCTCGTGAGTTAAAATTGTAACTTTTTTATGGCAGCTGGTTTAGATGATTACTGGTTGGTCTAAAATAAAAATGTTCTGCTTGCTTATCTCTAAGGAGAGTGTTCCTGGCTTTCCCACAGGTGGTGACGTGTTACGGCTTGAGACACTTCTAGACTGGTGGAGAGAGAAGAACAGTTCTTTTTGTTCACGGCTTATTATAGTGTTGGATTGTGAAAACTCCCAGCCTTGGGTTAAAGAAGTGAGGAAAGTCAGTGACCAGTATATTGCAGTTCAAGGAGCAGAATTGGCTAAAGTGGTCGATGTAGAAGAAACAGACCCTCCACACCTCGGCGATTTTACCAGAGAATGGGTTGAATACAACTGTAACCCTGACAGTGGCATCAGCTGGTTTGAAAAGGGACGTAACATGAAAGCTGTGTATGGAGTGTCAAAACGGTGGAGTGACTACACTTTACACTTGCCAACGGAAAGTGATGTTGCCAAACACTGGATGATATATTTCCCCCGCATCACTTACCCACTAGTTCATCTGGCAAATTGGTTCTGTGGTCTTAATCTTTTCTGGGTCTGCAAAATTTGTTTTCGGTGTTTGAAAAGATTAAAAATGAGTTGGTTTCTTCCCACAGTATTGGACACAGGACAAGGCTTCAAACTCGTCAGATCATAGCTATGAACCAAAGATGATCAGGAGTAAAAACTCTTAGAACTTGAAAACATGACTGACATGTAACTTTTTTCATTTATCACAGTTTACTGTTTGAAAAAGTGTAGCTACTTTTGTAGCTGTATTCCTTTTGCTCATTATTCAGAGCAGCTGTAACATTTGTGAAGAGTAAAAAAAAATCTTCAGTAGAAAATAAGGCCAACATAGATATTAGCTAAAATTTGTTCCTGGGTTGGATCTGAATTCTATAAAAGCCATTAAATGGGAGTGTGCACTTGAGAGACAGGTTTGTGTGCTCATTGTTATTGGAGCCATCTAACCTGTACTGGCTGAAATTCTTTGCTTTTTTTAAAAGAAATAGTTATTCCTATTACATTCTGTACATTCCACATGAAAGATGGATGCACATCAGTCTGATGGAAAAATTCCCCCCCCAATTAAAGTTTCTTTTTCTGCAGAAGTTAAATTACCAAGCCTTTTTTGTTGTTGTTTCATCTTTCTTTTAGCATGTATTGAAGCTTGATAAAAGCGTGCATACCAAGGCCAAGAATATGAGTGGTTGTTTATAAACATAATAGAACATATCTAAATCCTTTATGATAACAATCACTTTTAAAACTACTGAGTAATCTGTGTTTCAGCTTTGAACATTCACTATTTCTTGCAGTAAGAGCTCTTGTGTTGAGTCAAATTACTGTGGGTTACAGAATGTTCATTCAGAATTTCAATTTAACAGTAATAATGTTGGAGTTAAAACCTTGTTAATGGTAGTTCTCTTCAGTAGATAATGATTTTAAAGATTAAGGCTAGCATGTTAGTTGGAGCAGAAGGACAGTCACATTAGCTTCCCACCAATCCAGTGGACCCCTGTTGTATGACAGTTCTTGCAACTTGTGTGAGACCAGGCATGCAAGCAGGAACCTGCTGGGGAGAGGAATGTTTAGCCTTCTGCAATCATGCCAGCCTGAAGAATTTTGGGGTGATTATTCTTTCTATTGCATAACCCATCCCCATCAGCAGTAATGTTCTGCAGGCATCTTTGGCCCTAAACCTGGCATTTGCACCTAGCGATTATTATACATTCAGATAAAATCATCTATAGATTGTGAAATGCAGGCCAGTTGGGCCTCCATAGTGATTAAATTGGATTGGAATCTACTCAGAAATCAGGAGTGATAGCCCAATATTATTATGTACACATTTGGCTAAGAAGTATCATAAGACATCTTGACAACTAAGTGGTTTATTACCACCATTTCATGGTTTTTAATGCATTTTCATAGGTCTTATCAAGGTCAACAGGAGAATGCTTGTCTTGCACTCACAAAGTGAGAGTTGAAAATACTGTTACAATTCCAGTGCAGATTCAGGCAAGAGTTCCTCTTTCATTCCAAAATTGTTAACTTTCTATCTCTCATGTAGGCTTATGTTGAAAGGTGTGAAGGAACTAGACGGATTCTCTTGACACCTGACTTCTTGTTCTTATTCTAATGTTGTTTTAGATTGAAATATTTCTGTGCAGAAATTATCTTGGCTCTTCACATTTCATTTTTCTTCCTTTTTATATCCTTCATTTTCTGTAATGTGCTGATTTCTTCAAATAGCTTGTATCTATATATTCACGAAGGCTTCAAATAGCTTGTATCTAATTGCAAAGCAGATAAGCAATCTTTGCAAAAGGATAAGCTATTTCCTTTCTCTTACAGTTATAACTCCCTCTATTTTCTTTTATTTTTATTTTTCAGTCATGTTTTGAGGTTCTTGCACCTAAAATTAAAAAGTGAAAATTGTGGTTACATGCACTGTGCTTCCTTGTGGTTATAAAATCTAAGCTGACTAACAGTGAGCTAAGCCTGATGGTTTAAAGGGTTTATTGCCAACATTAGATAAATTTAATCTTGAATTTTTTCTTATCAGTTTTTTAAAAATTGAACTTGTTCTATAAAGGTATTATGTAAAAATATGTGGCTCTTTTGTATGATTCCTCTTACTTTTTGATTTCTCTAACTCTACATCGAGTCATCTTATTTGGCATTCAGTTTAAAAGCATTTTTAAAATTGCATTGAGACAAAAATCACAAGGATTGACTGAAAGTAACATTCATAAACCTCTCTTTTCTTTTACTTCCTGGAAAGAAGGCAGCTACATGAAGTCTTCTGAAGGGCTATTTTATTTTAATTGGACTTCTTGGGAAGATGAGAGCCTACATGACTAGATAGACTTGGTGGTAAAAATATATTTTTCTTCAGCAATAAAGCCATACATTCTTAGTACACTGCTGGACATGGAAAAATGTGGTAACTTGAGGGCAAAAATCTGAGATGGGCTCTGCTAAAAATTGTCAGTGTATCTATATACTGCTGCCAGTTCGTCATCAGGCAGATGTGAAACTGATTAAACGTAATTTGTAGGTTGTTCCTTGCAAGAGTGCGCAGTGAAAAAGATTTATTGCCTAGTGTTGGTAGGTACCTTTTCTTCAGAAGAGTGTCCTTATTCTGGAATTGCTATATGGCTAATAAGTTGTGTCTCTTTTGAGCACAGCAGTTTTTGTGTCTGCCACTCTTGTCTGTTCCCGACCAACTTAATGCTGGTAATTTCAAGCAGCTGGCTCTCACCCTTGCACCATCTACTGCCTATGCATTTAAACTGCAGCATTACCGGTTTGTGTCTGAGAATTTACAGAACATTTTGGATGCTCACTAGAGAGATTGAGAGAGAGTGGTGGATCAGACAGTCTGTGTGTGGCATGATATAACCATATGGTCTCTATAGACAGGTACACATACAAAGTCTGTCTGTCTGTCTGTCTGTCTGTTTCTATGGCCCTATAGGTGTTATTAAGACTGCCTCTCTTACCATAGCTAGGGAGCAGAAAAAAGCTGGCATGGTACTGTTAGCAAGGTGCCAGTTGTGCATGGTTGCAGCTGGGAAAATGTGCTAAGAAGTCTTTAGGGATATTAGAAATCTCATGACAAATGCCTTGAAGTTGTTACCTAGCTTCAATTGGTATTCTATGTGCTCCTTCTTTTGAAACACATCAATATTCTTATGAACTTGTTTTAAAACTCAATAAAAAATAATTTTGTAAACAAATTAGGTAAGCTTTCTATCCAGATGAGTGCCCACACCTGGAAAGCAGTGCTGGATTTTTCCATTCAGGATTGGAGGTGCCCTTAGGGGTGAGTGAGCCAGGAACTTGGCTAGAGCATCATGCTGAATTGAGGAAGTGCCAACGTTGAGCAGAAGAGGATGACAACCTGAGTTTTGTGTTATTGTGTTGTGCTGTTTAGTTTTGAAATATATTGACTTCTTTATTAATGAGAACTGGATCATCTACCCTATCCTGATAATGATACATGTGCATCCACTATGGTATCTGGTAAGGTGATATCAGCCTCATTTGTGCTGCAAACTAGTTGCCATACAAGGCGGCTGCTAGGCTTGGTTACTATAAGTCCATATATTGGGACAGAGTAATTTTTAAAGTTTGAAAAGAAGCTAGGGAAGAGTTAAGACTATTAAAAGTAATAGCGTACTTTTTGCTCAGAGTGCTGTTTATTCTAGGGTTGTTCCTAGTTGAGACATTAATGTGAAAATTAACTGAATACCTTTTCAAAGTCCCTTTCTACAGTCCAGTCCTGTGTATGTTTAAGTCACACAGTGTAATGAAGCTTACACCCAAGCACATGTGCCTAGGCTGCACCTGCAGTACTGAACAGTCTTATGGCTGTTGCCTAATCTAGCTTGTCTGATGAGCATGGATGAAGGAGCACTTTTTCTCTTGAGCCCTGAGTTGTAGTGAGATGCCAAAGTTATTGGTGCTGATTTGCACTGACTACAAGACCATAAAAAGTGAGTGTGTGTGTGAGAGAGAGAAGGATTCAAGAAACAAGCTTTAGTTTAACAGCCAAGAACAATAGTTGCCTGTAATCTTTCAAGGAAGAAAATAAGTCTACAAATATCAGATGTGGCTCTGGACTGTTTTCTGGCACAATGCTGTATTTCAGTTCATCAATAATAGATGCAGCTCCTTCTTTTGTGTCTCATTTCTTCTCTCCATGTAAAGAAGATGAACATTATGCAAATACATCTCAGAATGGTCTCCTGTCAAATACATACAGTTTTCTGTGACTGTGTTTTAATGTAATTGACAGAACACTCCATATAGTTCTGATTAAACAACCTCTTTTATACTCCTAAACAGCTGTGTGGGCTTCTCTGAATTTCTGACTTAATTTCAATATTGTCATTGCATCATGAAAATTTCAGCTGGCAAAATCTCATTCGCCAATAAAGGTAAGCCAACAACATAGGTGCATTCCCAAAGTTTCACAATTTAGTGGAACTTCCTTTTTAAAGATTTCATCTGTTTATCATTAGCTACAATTAAATCAAAGAATATAGCAGGAAATTTTTGGATTTTCAAATACAGAATATTTATAGTGTAATTCTATTTTAACTCCAAACAGGGTATACTTGCATGTTAACCATACTTGAGACTAGAACTACACCACCATTCTTAGCAATCAGCCAAAGAGCTCCCATCTTTGCTTCTTATTGATCTACCCTATTCCTTTAATTGTTAAATGTAAGATACTTGTTTAGATGAATAAACACTATTGAAGATTAAATTAAATCAGCAGCACAGCAGAGGCCTTGATCTGACTTTTGCAGGAAATTGTTGAAGGCCAGAAATAACAAATATACCTAAATACCAAGAACATGAAACAGCATCACTATTACCATAATAGGGCTTGCAAGGTAAGTGGAGTATTTAAATGGGGTTCCATCCCTCCAGTGAGCTTCCATGATTGCACACATGTTAACAACATTATCCCAGACTAGCATGTCTTATAGCGGTAGGAAGAAGGGCAAAAATGGGTGCCAAACCATCAGAAACAGCTACCACCATTAAGATACAAATAATAAGAGGATGAAATTATCTGAAGAAATGCTGATTTCAAAACTACCATATTATATGCAAGAATCCTGTGCTTATCTATTCAGAAATAAAGTCCCATAGGTGTGTACAGGACTGCAGACTGAGTTACAAAATCACAAAGCCTTTCATAGACTGTGAATGGAAGATAAAGTTTCAGAAAATTGACAGTGGTTTGCCTTCAGGTTTTAAAGTACATAAAATATCACTCTCAATAAGGTATTTTAAAAAACACTTCAGGATCTCTATTGCAACTTCATTTAAAACATATTTATTTCAAGTTACATGTAAGACTATAAATTCAGAAGCTGCTTGTGAAGCTTCATGGGCACTTTTGACCTGTAATTTATTTATTTATTTATTCATTCTCTCTGAAAGGGACCTTACATAATTAAATAGTATTTAAAAGCTTAAAACACTAAATATACACATATTAAAAAGAATTAAATAAGCATTATATTTAAAAAATAGCTAAGATCAATATTAAAACAACAGCACAACAGTCCATTTAAAACCCCTTTTAGATCACCAGTCATTAAGGAAAAGCCTACCTGAAGAGAAAGATCAAATTCTGGTAATGCTGAGAAACACTTCATTTTCTTCTTTGTATGTTTCTTTTCCTGTGCAGTATTTCTTAGTTGATCTAAGTGACTACTGTATAGTCTAGCTACCAGCACGTTCAAAGCACCCAATTTCATTTGGAAAAAAAATCCTACAAGACCTCCCCAACTGCAATATCATACAAAGTCACAACTTATCAATAACTCTCATAATGGACATGTGAAACGTGGCTGAGGCTCATAGCAGCATCAACGCACGAGTGTAGGTATTGTCTTGTCCCATCTAGGGGACAAGGTCACATGCAGCACTTACTGGAATAAACTGTGCTCAAACATCTTTAGGTTTCTTTTTCAAGGAATGGAAGACTTCAATGTTTTAAAATATCACTTAATTGATCAGTCTTGAAATGGCTTTGTGTGTGTGTGTATATATATATATAATTTTGGAGCAAGTTATATTTTCAGAAAGATCAGGATACTCTCTATTTTTTGCTGCTTTTTATTGCCTAGCACTGTGCCAATCACAGACATTATATTGCACCTCATGTTATACAAGACCACCAGGCTGCTGTTGAATTTGATTCCAGTCTATTTCTGCACTTGATCCTTTTATCACTAGTTTGAGCTTGCTGAGGACTGCTGTCTTTTTTTCACATACTTTCTGGCCATGGTTACTTCAGAAGTCTTTAAGCCTTCACCTCCTAGGGAACAGGATGAAAACAGCTGTCTTCACTACAACTTTATTTTTATTTATTGGCATGATTAAGATCACATTTTGAACAGTCTACAACCTATTTTCATATCATATTTATACTTTGCTTTCTTGATTACTCTCAAAACAATACTGGAGCCATTATTTATCAGCTGGATGCTCTTTCATTTTCCTAATTGTGTAATAAACTTATGCAGAATTGTTGAGAGCCATTATGAACAAATGCAAGTGGGGGGGGGGAAGGCTGTCACGCAAAAGTCAGGGGCACTGAGTAGACATAGGAAGCTAACAGCCCCGAACTGCAAATGGTTCTGTATCTTTTCATACAAATTGCCTCTTTGGATTCTCCAAGATCTTTTTGGGTCTCATCTTCCTCTATAAGAATCCCAAGGAAATAGAACACAGGTGGACTAACACATCGGACTCTCTGTGGATTAAAAGGAATTGATTAAAGGACATACAAGCAAAGATGAAAGAAAGAAATAGTCATTTTTTAACAATGAAAGAAAGTAAATACTATGTTGCTGTGGCCCCACTCTAGTCCTGTGCTATTTAATCTGTTCTGAACTAATCTGCTGTAGTTGCTAACTATGAGGTGGCAAAGTATATTGATGCTACTGTGCTGTGAATGATGAAATCTTAATTAGAATGTGAATCCTGACCATCTATGGAATTGCAGACCCATACTCACTTTGACATGATGCCATGGGACAACTCTCATAGCTGTTACAAGTTATGGTATTCTTCTCAATGACTGTGCACCTGTTTGTGTTCTTTGGCACCAGACCAGCTTTGCTTTAAGAGCACCACAAACAGAGCATCAGGGCAAAAAATTAGCATTCATCTTTACTTCTATGTGCCTATATCTTAGAATAAGTCCTAAGGAAGTCAGTGGGACTTTGTCCCATGTATACTTACAGAATTGTATTTTAAAGTTACAACGCCAGTGCAGAATGCTTTTGCTGAAAAATATCCCTGAAAGAAAATATCCTGATTCCTTGAACTAGCTCATGAAGGCCTACATTTCCTAGCTTGACAAAAGGCATAGACATGGAAAATACGTGAGATTTTCTCAACATTTTAAAAAGATTTTGCAAAAACCCTTGGTAACTATTCCTCTTCAAAGTCTCTTGCACAGCCTTTTTTGGGGAGGGGGACAGAGGGAAGATTCCTGGCACACGCTTTTTAAAATTATTTTTTAAGTTTTGCGGCAAGGGAAAATGACACAAGAGTGGTGTCCAGAATTCTTTGGCATATGTACACCATCGTAAGTGCAATAGCATAAATCACTGTGGCAAACCATCACTAATTAGGGAGTCGTCACTTGTATTCCCAATCACTTGACAAGTCACACAGCTGGTGTGCAGTGAGGAATACAAGTGGCTACTTCTTAACTGGCAGTAACTTGCCACTGTGATTTGTTCCATTGCACTTACAAGGTGTATATAAGCAACAGGATTCTGCCCATTTTCTGGCAGTTTGCTAACATTGCTGCAGAATGGATTGAGAAAATCTTTAAAAATGTCAGTTGATTCATAAGCAAATGTGAGTTTAAATGGATGTTAAAATTCTCTGACATTATCATTAGCTTTAATTATGTCAGTATTGTTTAATAAATCAGCTAATCAATTCAAAAACTTAAAAGAACCAAAAAGGTGCCACTGAAAAAGATTCGTTATCTTTCACACTTCATTTTTAACACTAGTGCTGATGAAAATTCCATATGTGTTAATTTCTGAGAAATTCCCATTGTTTCTCTAGTGGCAATCTTGCTGTGTAGATGCACAAATGGGTTCATTTTTAAAGCAGGCTTTGCCATCTCAGTATGCCTTGACTTAGTATACAACAGATAGCAGTAGTAACTTTATTACGGTCAAAGACCAGTAAATTGTGTGTTGTTGTTTCAAAGACCAGTAAGATGCAATAGATAATGTCTAGGGAGATTTCTTAACTTCTAGTAATCTGCATCCCAAAGTTACACTGTTTATATAGCTGAGCAAGAGAATTTCAGACATTGTCGCTGTCATGGAAGAGAATGTGCCTTCTAAGATAAGGCCTACTGCCTTCTCATGATATGCCCAAAGCAGGCCCAGTTTAGCCATTTTGGCTTCTAGCAAAAATTCAAGCGAATCAGATCTACAGCTCACTAATCTTTCTTTATGGTAGTCCATGGTGTCCATAAAGCTCTCCTCCAACATATTTTAAATTCAACATTTTTTCCTTCTCACCATTATCTATTCATAGTCCTCCGGAATGCCATCAGAATATCATATTGCTGCATCTACCATACATGCATCAATACAAATAACAAATACGATTGATGGGTCCCTTTTTTGATTGCGTCAGCCTCAAAGGTAGCCCCACGTACATGCATCAATATAAATAACAAATACGATTGATGGGTGCCTTTTTTGATCCATGGTTCAGTTGCCACTTAGCAATAACAAATTCAAAGCCACCTATGCAGCCAGTCATCTAGTGTCAGTTCATCTCCAGGATTCCAGTTTTCACTTGACTCTAACATTCATTCATTGGGCTGCCAGATCATGCTATAAAGAAAGCCTAGCTGGGGGAAGAAGGCTTATTTGCTTGGTATATAAATTGCCATAGACTACATTCAATGTCTGCTGGCTCTTTGGGGCTCACTGAATGTTTTTAAATAATTAGATACTAAATTTTAAAACAGAAAACAAATAAAATAATAATAACTATAAGAAATAATTTCCTGATCCTTGACTTGAGGCTTTCCTAGCTGAAAATGCCAGTTTATCATTCAGTGATAATAGAAAGCAACTGTTACTATTTATTAGGGAAAGCAAGGGCAAATAATCTGATAATTCTGGTCTACATCAGTGCAGATTTCCTCCCTCCCCATATTCATAGGTGGAGGGCAGATTTTATTACCAGATCACACAATGTTGCTCCATGCACCCCAGCCCAAAACACAACTTTTTTATATATAGATGATAAGAAGGTAGCCTGTCTAGGAGCCTCCTCAAGCATACTTTTCCAGGTAACATATACAGTATTACATCTTTAGTACTTCTGCAACCCAGAAACAGACAGCTCTCTCCCCTCCCCGCTATGAATAAAAATTCCTTTTCGCCTGTGCTGCTCTGCCACTTCTGAAAATCCAAACTAAGATGTGGCTTATGACCCATGATGCAGTGGCCAGATCCTCTCTGTGAGGTCAGTTTGCAAATTATTCCAGCACACAGGGTCAAACTATATGTTACAGATAGCTCATCATTAAAAGATGAAATTTCTCAAGTTCTCAAATGGATCTGTTATAGTAAGAGCTTTTCAAGCGTCCTGTAGTTTGCACACTAACACGCCTTGTTTGTGATTGGTCACCGGAGGTAAACAGTAGCTCCATTTACAAATATGATTGTTCAGATAGATCTTCTGCAATGACATTTCTGGAACACTAGCATGATTTCAGCTCCTATAAAGTTTAATCTGACCATTATTTATTATTAACGGAATTTCCACGACTTGGAGAAGTATGGGCCCATGGATGACTGCACATAAAATGGCTCCAGGCTTCCAGAAATTTCTGGGCATATGACAGACACCTGACAGTGTGTATACCTATATGACAACAAACATTGCTGGTGGAGAAAGGGGCTTAGTTGTTGGCTTAGAAGCTATTGCCATATGCTGAGCAGATTTAAATTTCCTATAATATACATGGTATACCATGTTTTCTGTTTTCATTTCTGCAGCATTGAGTTTTGAGTACTTGTTGAACATGTTAAAGCTTTCAAATGCTACATTTTGAAACTCTTTCTGTGATAACAAGAATCAACAACAACAAAAAAGAACATTAATTACCAGAAGATGCTACTGATGAACTTGAGTCTTCACTGCATACCACAGTCCAGTATTCAGGCACAATAAAAAGACAAATGTTAGAATTTATTGGGAAATAAATAACAGACAACAAAACAAAACATCAAATAAACAGAAAATATCAAGAAGACTTTACATAAATCTGCCCTTCATTTATTTTTTGACAAAGTAAGGAAATTACTATAAGCTGATATTTAACTGTTTTTATTATCATTGTTCTTAAGAGTTCACTCTTGGGTTCCCTGTAGTGGCTCATTCTGATATTACACATTGGAAATATTTCTAAAAACAGAAAAACCAAAACCACAGAATATCTGTCCTGCCACTTAGGATATATAAAGGAATGTTATAAAATCTGAAGAATTGCTATCAAAATGGTTCTAAAATCCCTTAAAATACCATTTAAATGCATCTTTTTAAAGTAAACAGGTATTACTTGTAACTTAGGTGTTACTTATTGCTCCTAAAAGGTAATGTAAATGCCAGTTGCATCAGTAGCTTCCCAAAAGAAACTAGTCTCATGGTAAAGCATTACTTTTAAATAGTTACTTCCAAACTCTGATATTAAGGTGTGCTGAACCAGCAATACAAGTGTGTTTACATGTGGTGTAACACTTGTAATGCTTGTAATATACCATGTTAAAAGATGCAGGCCAGGATCCCTCTGACTTAAATTGCATGGAGTAATTTGACATTTACACTACTTGCACTGATATAATTGCTCCTCTGTGCCCCCCAGATGGTTTCTCAAGTAACACTGCCCCACTGTGAACATACAAACTTTATTAATAAGCAATTTGTCACTCCCATCCCCCATTGTCAGCAGTGATGATCTCATCTTGCCTCCAGATCAACAAATATGAAAGGTCATGGGCATTAATTTTATGGCCCTAAGGTTTTTTCTTTAAAAAACAAACCGTGAAACATGCATAAAGACAGGAATTGGCCATTTTCTGTATGACAGCTGTGAGCACATAGACACCAGGACAATCAGATAACAGGAAAGAAAAAAATAGTCTATTTATTCTTCCTTTGATTAGCTGAGTACTGCTCCTTCTGTGTATGTGTTTCTCTGTTGCTACATCAAATACCATGCATGTGGTTTTCAATAGTGAGGTGAATTTTAGAGCACAGATCTTGATGCTTTATCTTGTACCTGAATAGAAGTAGGGGGAGATGGATGTGTTGAAGGGAGCAATAGTTTATAAGTTTACACCAGACTCTTGAGTATCCAGTCCTTTTGAGCTGAGCATTAATATTTTTTTAATCTGTGCTGCCTTGTTACCTGGATAAACAGAATATGTATTCCTTTTTTAGCAGCATCTAAACTGGAACTAGTAAAGGTGGCAACTGAATCTTCAGGATGCCTCCTTTCCTCTTGATCCTTCTGTTTCTTTTTAGTATTTTGATTTAAATGCTGGGTTTGAGGCCAGTGCTTGAATATAAATTGGACCTCCTACTCAAGTAACAATGGGGTTCTGCGTAAGAAAAAGGGAGTAGAATAGTGTATGTGAGGGAAAATGCTTGGCTGACTGAGTGTATGGGTGCATGGTACACATGTGTAAATACAAGAATGCCTACCTTAATCTGAGCATGTATACTTGTGAATTCCTGCCTATGTGTGGGAGTGAGAATGCAACAATATATGTGAAAGAGAAGGTTTTTCTAACAATGTCTGTGCATGGATGAGAACGCCTACAGAGTGTGCATGAAAAAGAGGATGAGAGCATGCATTAAATGCTTGGCTCCATCTGTCACCTTGTCCCATACCACACCAACTATAATGGGTGCCACCTTCTCCTACCCTAGGTTGCCACCTCAGTAAGAGTTTAGCTGACATTCCTGATACTTTCAGAGCACTGTAACATCTCTTCAGAAGAATATTGTATTATCTAATCTTTCCCTTTGGCAGGTCTAGTCACTGACAGCTCCATATTCCTACTTCCATTAATTCCTGTAATACCTCTAACAATATAGACTCAATACAACTGTATATTGATCCTTGCATCGTTTCTGTAGCATCTCTCACTAAATGCAAAATAAAATGTGGTCTATGAGAAATAAGAATGTACCTGACATGTTAAAAATAACAAGGTCAAAGCAGCCCTTTATCAATGCGAGTCTGAAAATTCAAAACTATATACAGTGACAATTGCATTGGAGATGGTAAGCCTGACAATGGTTGAAATCCTGTTGCTTACTTAGTGTAGCGAGTTACAAGTAGATAGGCCCATTTAATCAGTGGGGATTTGGTGAGTCAGCTCCTCAATAAATTCAGTTGAATCAAATGTGCCTATTCTAGTTGTGACTTGCTATGCTAAGCAATAGAATTTCAGCCATCAAAAGGTAATCTTTAAAAATGAAAGCATTCAATTTATTCTTGGGATAAATTTAATTGTTAGTGCCACTTAAAATAGATTGACTGAATCTGTGGGACTTTGCAAAATCTCATACAGTACATTCAGTGGGACACCTCTTACTGGATTTGGACCTAGATTCAGTGGATTTACTCTGATTAACACTAACAGATTTAGTGCCTTATCTATGCAATCCATGCAATTATTACCATTAACTCCTGTGGCTGACCCCACGCCTGATCTTGCAGATATTTTCCTCCATAATAACAAGCTGCTGTTGCTGCTCTCGCTGCTGTTGCTAGAATATGGTGGTACACACCCACATCTAAATGGTTTCCTGGTGTCTTTCTGAATCATACTTGATTGTTTTGCTAATTCAGGAATATGATAAAAAGTTTGATGAGTTAAAGGATGACCAGGGGAGAGGGGAACAAAGACAAAAACAAACCCACAAATTCCTAATAAATTTCTATAAAACACTTAAATCAAAACAGAAATTGTTCACTGTGAAACAAACTACTAGGGATACTTTTCTAAAGCAGCATCTTCTCCTGCTCTTTTTATGCTGGAGTTGTGAGAAGGCCATGCTCAAAGGGGTAAAGTGAGGACAAATTGAGTAAAAATCAATACAATATATTACACAGATAGTTTTAAAAATCAAATACAACGCATGCGTACAATATTGTTGTTACATGCCTTCAAGCCAACTTGAAGAGTGTGGGCAGGTATCAGTGTGTAGGTGTGGGTGTGGGAATGCGGGTGGGCATACGCATACACACACACACGTTCCTGTTCCTTCCGCCCTCTGAGATCTTGAAAGTATCTGGTGTGGCCCTCAGGGTCAAAAGTTTGGAGACCCCTGATCTAGATTAATACTTTGTGTGTGAAAGGAAAATTGTGCAGTGTTTTCCCCCTTTCTAAAGAATCCTCTTTGTGCAATTGGTCACAAAACTGATTTTACAACTACTAGTATGAAATTGGGCACATGAAGGAGAGTCTGCTGGAGTAGGAGAGATGTTCCCTGTCAATTTCCATGCCCCACACAAATGGATGGTTTCAAAACTCTTGACAGGTTAAGACCTTGATACTTGTTGGAAGGTCTCATCCAGAAATCAGTTATCCATTCCTCCTATTCTTCTCATTTCCTGTTGTTACAAGTGGCCACACCAAGGAAGGCCAAAAAGGTGAATACAGGGAATCATACCTTTTAGGTGATGGCCCCTAGTCTCCAGAACAAAATGCCAACAGAGATACACTAGGCTCCTTCTTTCCTTATCTTGAGAAAGCCATTAAACATGGAATTATTTAATGTGGCCTTTAATAACTAAATCTTTTGGATGCTGCCTTTTTTTTTAACTAATTCTAGATTTAAGAAGGTTATTTATAATTTAATTTCTATCTGTGTATCTCCATATTAGTTTTGAATGTATTTGTTGTTATTGGGGAGTTTTAGGTTTTAATTTTGCAAACCACACTGATTAATGCTTGCACTAATGGGATGGTATATAAACAGAATGAATGAATGAATGAATGAATGAATGAATGAATGAATGAATGAATGAATGAATGAATTGCCCTTATGTGATTGCATAAGTGAATGGATTCTGACCTACATGCACTATGACATCATTCATAGTGGCATGTGTTGCCATTCCCATGCTCCTGCTCAACCAAAAATGGGAGCATAATGGCATGCATCAAGTTAAAAAGGACACTACAGGACACATGGAACGACAGTAACCCCTCATAAGATGCCAAATAAGCAGGCAAGATCGCTTGTAGCCCAAAACACTAATCTGCACACCTCTACTCCACACTGGCTCAAAAGTTGAACCAATTCCTGAAATAAGCTCTCCTTAATACATTTATCTACATTTGTCTTAATCTGGAGTTCTATTAAGTGCAGTAGCTGTATAATTAAATTAATAAACCTTGCTATTGGAAAAGCTGCTACTGCAAATAACACTTCTATAAACAGTGCAAATAAGATAAAAAACAATTTATTTGCGTAGATTCAGGATAACTAGATTCCTGACATGTAGCAGGAAGAAGCCAGGCTTGGAAACAGTACTTTAGAAATTAACATGCTAGCCCTAGTTAGTTGAATTTACAACACTGATTTTAAAAGACATTGTTAAACTAGTAAATGATAATTATGTTAATAGCCTTGGGAACAACTAATGTTTCACGAGATTTGAATTTATTACTATTGGAAGATAATTGGGGGTTTGGACATTTTTAATCATTTTAGATCATTTAAAAAAACTCAGCAACATAACAAATCAACTTCACAATCATTGACTGAGACATTTAATATTAGCAGATCACTTTCCAAATTACTTTCAGTCTTAGCATTAACAAATTGGTTTTAGCACTAATGTTTCCAAGCTCTTTGTGATGCATCAAAAAAAAATAGATGGACGTCAGAACTTATATCTGAACCGTGCAGGAAAACCTTTGAACATTGGACCTCGTTGCGGAGGGGACAGACTAAGGAGAAGACTTGGGGTGTGATTTAGAGAAGTTGTGTAGCACCACAGATAGCATCTGAAGGGGAAAAAACTCATTTTTCAGAGGGAAGGGATGGGGTACCTTTGGCACGCCAAATGTATTGGACTATGACTTGCAGAATTTGCAGCCTGTGTCACCAAGAGTACAATACTGTGGGAGTCCTAATTAAAATGATCTAATGCACCACAGATTTGCCACCCCTGGTTAGCTGATAGAGATGTGCATTCAAGAAATGTGAATGAATACCACTCCCCTTCAAACGAGGCTCCCCCCCATTTTCATATTATTTCAAGGCTTCTCAATAAAAAGCCTTTGAAACTCAATAAATTCAGCTTCCCAAAAGACAGGGGCCCAAAAACATTGAGTTTGTATTGAGTTTCCACTGTTGGGCAGCCTCTGTTTGACATGTATGCCATTTTACCCAGCCCAGATCTTTCCTTTCCCTCTGACATCATTGCCTCACAACCACCAGAGTTCGCAGCCTAGTCTTCTACCCCCTTCTCCTTGCCTCATCTGGCCTTTTTTAAGAGCCAGAACCCGAAATGGGAAACACGGAATAAAATACGTTTGCCCCTTTCCGATTTCCCCAAATGACCAGTACCTTAAAAGGCCTAAACAAAATAAGGAGAGGTCCTGAAATAAAAAGAACTCAAAACAAATTAATCCTATAAATTTTCTTTGTGTGCTTCTCTTAATAGCTGAACAAAAAGGTGTGTTTTAACCTTCATAAGATTTTGACTTAGATCCTTGGTTTTCTATAGTTAATTGATTGTAATGCACTAGAAGAAACATAGAGCAAAAACAAGTCACACAGATATTTCAAATAAATCTACTTGCTCTTACACTTGGGCATGAATGATGCTCCAGCAAACAGGTTGATTTCTGTTATTGTGTGGAATGCATTTAGAGACCACAGGAATCTGTAATTTTCAGAAGATAAAGAATATAGCTTAAATAACATGTATGCCTGGCTTTCATTCAGTTATTATTTTAATTTTTATTCTCCAATCCTTCAACACTTGCTAGTTGCTTTTGTTGATTTTGCTCTGGAAACTTTTAGTTACCTGCACATAAAAGTCTTGCTCCCTGAATCTGGAATTCTATACCCATTTACTTGGGAGTAAATCACAGCAACCTTAGGAGGATTCACCTATAAGTCATCATCTAAGTATAGCAAGAGGCCCCCCCTCCAAGATGTTGCTGAATCAAAAAAGTAACCATGTACAGTACTTGGTTTTCCAGGTAGAGAATACTTAGAAGTGGATTACCCTTTCCTTCTTCGGCAGATACCCTTCGGCAGGTACTCTGTGAAGCTTGCCCAAGGTCATACACGCTGGCTCTGCTCACAGGAGGCACAGTGGGAAATCAAACTCCGAACCTCTGGTTCCACAGCCAGATACCTAAACCACTGAGCTATCCAGCCAGCTATATGCTGAACTATATCTTCAATAATTTCTTATAATTAACCATTCTAACTAGTGCTGATGGGAGCTAGAGTCCAATAACATCTGGAAGGCTACAAGCTGTGATATTGTAATTCAATGTATCATTTACTTTAATTAGCAGGACATAGAAGATCTCAGTGAGGACTGTGTCAAAGAAAAAGTGATTTAAATTTAAAGAAAAATGGCTGAAGGTGGCTTGAAAACTAGTGCTTAACACTGTTCAAGTACTAATTGGCACCAGCCAATGGGAACAGCTCTGTGGGAAAAAACTGACTGGCTACTAGACCATTTCTGGGTGCAATAGGAGGTCTTTGGAAGCCTTACACAGATTGAGACCCAGATGCCTGAAAAATCATTTTCTCACTAATCAGAGGCAAGGACCCCAGGCCCTAGAGCAGAATCTGGACCTCTCAGGTTCCCAGTGTAGACCTTTTGGGGTTCACCTACAGAAGCCATGCCCAACCTTGTATTGGCCATGGCAATAGTACCCTTTAATGCTTTCTCAAGCTCTGTATGAGATCACCCTCACCGTTCTAAAAGACTGGTATGCCTCTCCTGCTCATTATGTGAATAAAGAGCATTAAAGTGAAAATATGATGATATTTTCAGTCTTACTCTTTTGTTTTTGGTCTCATCCACTGCTGGAGTAAAGCCCCAAGGTCTTCTCTGAATCTGGCTCTTGACTTGAAAAAAAATTCCCCCACCTTTGTCCCAAGTTGTGTTGGGTACAATTTGGGACAGAGGTACTTCATGCAGTGTCCTCTCTTTCAGGTGGATGTCAACTGGAAAAAGACCTTTTCAGTTATGGGGCCCTCTTTTTCCATTGCATTTCACAGGGAGGCTCAACTGGTATGAACTTTAATATCAGGCAAAAAACTTTTACTTTTTTCTGCAGAGAGCCTTTTGAAACCATGATAAATTAGTTATGGATTTATTTTCCCATGCTTTTATTAATATTACTTGTCTGTTTAATTTTATGTTTTTCTACATCTGTTTGTCTGTGTTTTAAAACCAATGTTTATGAAGCCATGGACAAATACTCTTCCCTCACCCACACCTTCCTCCTGTGGTGAACCAACTTTGGTACAAAGATCCAGAACTACTTGTCATGTTCGAATCAGCAAATTCTGGATTAATGTCAGACAGGAAACCAGGGAAATCAGCACATTAATTATAATTCTGTTTGTTTTATTTTTAGATTGTGAAGTAACAACTACCCTGTTTCCCCTAAAATAAGACCTAACCTGAAAATAAGCCCTAGTATAATTTTTCAGGATGCTCATAATATAAGTCCTACTCCAAAAATAAGCCCTAGTTAAGTGAAACCATGCCCTCCACCATTGTGCAGCAACCAGAAGATGACATGACTGTATTTGAATAAATGTAGATAGTTGTACATGACAAAAATAAGACATCCCCTGAAAATAAGCCCTAGTACATTTTTGGAGCAAAAATTAATATTTTTGCCTTATTTTCAGGGAAACAGGGTACACAATTTTAAAGAGAGAAAAGTTTATTAAAATTCATATTTCCCATGGAAAACAAGAACTGACCACCTAAGAAATTATTAAGACATAGGGATATTGGTTATGCTGCTGTGGTGCTCAATAGGTGGGAGGGAACCATTCAAGGCAAAACCTGCAGGAAAGATTTGATTAAAGTTACAGGAAGCCTTCATTGGATGGGACGTCTTATTAAATATTACTAAAAAGGGGTTGCCATTAATTTCCATCATATTTTACCTGTGGCTAATAAGCAGCAAAGTCTTATGCTACCTGACTTTTAAGGGGGGGGGAGGAGGATAGAACCTATTAATGAGTGTCCTAAAGGAGAAATTCAACACCACAATAAAAGCACCACTATAATTAAAGTGGAAGACAAGAAAACAAAATCTAGGGGATGTGGAGAGAGTGCTCTACTACTATATCTAGACACTTTTTGTAATGATCACAAATCACAAAAAAGGACAGATTTGTCTTTACAACTATGTAGTTCAATTCTGAATGTAACAGCGATTTGTATTTATACTTACTTGTCATAGAAAGAGGGCATTTTAGGACTATGAAAATCTTCCACGTCAAAGTAATTAATACTCTCCCTGCAGAGTTGAGAGGCCTATTGAAAACAAAAACAACATAATAATCTATACAGATGGGTAGCTCCAAAGGTATTCAGTTTGCACTGGCAGGACAGTGTTGGAAACTAGCCTGTTAACAATTTTATAATTAGTGTCATATATAAATGCTACCACTGGGTGCAAATGGCCTCTCAATCTTCTCTGCTGTAGTATTGGACAGAGAAATGGTACAGAGGAAGTTCACAGAGTTTCCCCAGGGGACTAGAAATTCTCCAATTTCTCAGAAACTGTAGCATTTGTCAAGCCCTTTCTTTCTTTATTTTCTTTATTATTCATAAGAATTTTTCTTCTAGTACTGCCATTGCATTTTACAGCCTTGATAGCATTGTGAATATGGCATAGTCAACTTTCTCTCTCTCTCACACACACACACACACACACAAACACACACACACAAGGAAAAAATTGAGGTGGGAAAATCTTGTGAGTAGTTAGGGGGTGGTTGGGGATATTTCTTCTTGCGCTTGCTTTCTTCACTCTCCAGCATCCTTCCTGATCCCAGAACGTCCCACAGCAGAGGTTACCCCATGGTGTCTTTCCCTTGGCTTTAAATGATTCAGCAATCTAGTGGCTGCCACAGAGCTAATTAAGTAAGGAAAGACAGGACATTTGCACACATCTCTTGGCCAGCTTGTAGGTACGGTAAACCCAGTAACCCTGAAATGTCTATCAAATTGAGCAAGAATGGTCAAAATTGTGGAATAAATATTTTGGGATTTTTGAAAAAATAAGAATGAGCTAAAATGTTCAAACTAGTTCAGTGTCTGCCTCCATTAAGCAGTGCTGATGTAAGCTCTTTGGCTGCCTCAAGTGGGAAAAGACACATCGCCACATGCTGCTGCTGTGGCTGGGCTGGCCTCTGGTCCCACAACAGTCATTGGGGGAGAAGGAGGGAGAGCATGTGGCAGTGTCTCTCTCCTCACCACAGCCTATAATCTAGCTGTTCCACCTTAATCTTTCTGTTCCTCAGCCAGATGCAGTAATAATGCCTCACGCGGAGTCTCTGGAAGCAGAGGTGGAAGGTATTATTGGGAAGAAGAGTAAAAAATATTGCCTGCACAAGTGGGTGGCAGCTAACATCAAGCTGAGGAAAAGAAACAAGTCAGTTCAAACAGTGGTTGGCTCAGGGACCAGAAAATAGATAATGATGGCAGCTCTGCCACCTGAGGCAATTATTTCAGCTAGTCTAATGGCTGAGCCAGCTCTGCTGTTAAGATTGGGCCCTTAAATGTAAGCTAATACTGTATGTCTTAAAGTGTCTTTATAGTTTGAAAATTATTTTTAAAACAAGGATCTTTTTGTTGTATAATATGATATGTTACAAAAACGAACATTGCTTGTCTATCTTGTTCTAATAAATGCTTTTCGGGGGGGGGAAGAATGGGGTCCTTCAAATGAAAAAGAATCACCCATACAGTTATGAGACAAATCTAGTGCATTATAATAGTCTGAAGAACTTACCATTTTATGATCTTTATTTTGATCTGAACCAGACAATCCACCAAGCGATTTTAAAATGGCCCCTCTTAAGATTAAAGTGCACACGTGAGATGGATTTATCCTGAAACTCAGGTTCAAATCAAGAAGGGCTCTTCTTTTTTCTTTTGCTGAGCTCCATACAAGAGCTCTGACACAGTACACATCCTAGAAAAGGGAAAGCATAAAATAAACTAAAAATCCTTATCCCTAAAACACAGGAGGAGCAGTTAAGGGCAAATTATATATTACATGTAACCAACAATTAGAAATACAAATTCATTGTGTGCTAAAAATGACTGATTGTCACAGAAGGAGCTCTTCACACCTTCCACACCTTGAATCCAACTTGTTTATTTTCTGATTGGTCCCTGGGAGATAAGCACAGGCTTCATTTGAAATTATAATCGCTCAGTCACAGAGGTCTCATGACAGGGCACATGTTACAGTTTGACCCATACAGTTTGGTCAGTAGCCTATTTGAACCTGTAGTCCATTTTCAATGGTCTCTTCTACCAGGTACTGCCTCTTACTCTGCTTCACAGGGTTGTTATCATAACAAACCAAACTAGAATGGGGATATGAGAGGAAATCAAGTATATAAAGCAGACTCAAATACAGAATTAGCTGCTTTTCCAAATTGTGCTTTTCAAACCAGCTTACAGTACAACACAGGTCAAAACTAGACTTTAAATTATATATTGAAAATAACTGGAAGCCAGTGAAGAACCATTCCCTCACAGAATCAAGGAGGGATGCTTTTTGGAGTTCTATCAGGTGCAACAGATTTCCTGCCTGTTTGACTGCTAAGATATATCATCACTTATGCTAAATATTTGCAAATAAACTCACATTTTACAACAAAAAGAAAAGAGAGAAAGAAAAAGTTTGTGTCTCCAATGACCATGACTTCCAAAGAAAAGCAGTGCCAGGTACACCCTTTGGAACTTTTTTTATCACTGAGAGAAGAGATGACAACATGGGAGATACTTGTGCTGAAATGGTAGAAGCAAATATTATTGCTTGACTCAAAGTACAGGTAAAACTTAGCATGTCCGCTTATATTGACCTACAAAGATTTCTAGTGGAGTATTCATTAATGGGGATTGTGTCATGCAGAGGTTTGGTTGGACAACAGTCAGACAATGTCTTGCTTTTTTCGATCCTGTTTCACAAGTCAGCAAAGAGATTTTTAAAGATGTGGTCTTTTCTTGTACTAAAAAGAAAGGCCCACAAATCTGCTACAAAAGATTTTCTACACCAGGACAAATATGTTTCTACATGACTATAAAATAGTGGTCCTATAGTTAGAGCACAAATACCACTACTTTTCTACTCACAGGATTTGAAGGGTCTAAATACACAGCTCTCGTAGCGTCACCTATGGCTTCTTTAATTTTGTCTAGAAATAATGTAGAAAAACAACAGAAACTGCTAAGATATGTAAGGCTGAGCCAGGATCTGGTACTATACAGACAACGTACATACATATGTTCCATCAACCTATAGATTTACATTAAGGAAGACAAAAGCTTATTAGCACGTCTGAGCAGGAAAAGCAGCTGATCACTTTAGATTAGCACATGACCAATCTGTATAAACTAAATCCCATGGTCAGTTCCATTGAAGATCAATTCAATCATTGTGAAAGTGTATACTGCACAAGCAGTGAACAGAGTGCCTCAGCCCCATCCCCTCTATCATTTATTTAATCACAGGAAAGCAAGAGCTAGAAAAGGGGAAGAAGTGCGTTTGCATCAGTTCTCAAGTCAGCCAGCACATTAAAACAATCAGTGCTGGCTCATGTGGACTACCTCTATGGATACAACAGCCTTCCGCTCTTCAGATGCATGATTAAAGCAACAACAGAGGGTATGTCTATACCCCTTCATAGTATGTGCTGTCCACACACTTTCAGAATCACTGAATAAACCCAATCTACTTGATGACATTCATCCCATTCATTCAATGGGGCTGCTCCAGTTGGATCTAACAAGTGCTATTAGGTCTAGAACTACAACATTCATTAGTAGCCACTAAAGCAAAATAACTCTCTGTGAAACAAAACTGGGATGGCAAGGTGATTGCAAACAAGTTATACTGAAGCAAAATTTTAACATATAGGTACTGTTAGACAACAAACTCAAACACATGCTAATTAACCCTAAGGTCACAAGACAATACACATGTGGGAGCTGATCTCATTAACTTCAGTGGGACTTCATCTAAGGAGACCAGCATAATATGGTTTGCATCAGTGTTACACTCCCCTCTTGACTATGGTTTAGAAAGAGTTGAAAGAATATACTGTGCTACATTATTAATGCAGTTCTTATCTACCGAGAAAGAAGCCCCAATAAACTCAGTGAGGCTTCCTCCCAAATCAGCTTAAACAGTATCACAAGTAAAAATAAATTTTAAAAGTCAAGTAAAGAAAAAAAGAGGAGAGCTGGGTTTGTCATCCTGAGCTGCTGTTCACCATCTTTGGAAAGGGCAGAAAAAGAGGAAAGGCTTCCTTCCCATTTGGAAATTTACCTATCTTTCCATTAGCTGCAATACCGTAAAAACCTTGATAGTGTAGTTTCTTTATTCACAGAAAAGAACATAAATGTTTTTTGACTGTAGTCAGACTGAAGATACAATTCACTATTTATTGTTCTTTCCCCTTCATATGGATCCTAAAGGAAGATTCTTGTCATCCATCATCCAGTGGTTTGTCCAACTGTACTTTTGAGGAAGTAGCATTAGGATTGCTCGCTGATAAGCAGTTATTTATCACATTGGCTGGAGAACAATTTGCACTGGCAGCCAAGAAGCTGCATTCTTGTTTTGTTAAGGACCATAACGTTGTATAAATGCCATCAGCATGATCAATGAGTCTGGATGATTGTTTTGAAGGATGTTATGATCTGACTGGTGATAAGCATGCTAATGAGCTATTGTAATTTCCTGTTTTTAAAATTGGAAAATTGACTTTTTATTATGCATTGCAAAGGCCTTTGGTTAGAAACAATAACGTTATTTGTCTTTTTACCATTTCCCAATGCCTAGTTTCCTTATTCATTTCATGATTTTGGATGATAAATGGGCATACGTAAAAAATCAACATGGGTGTACATAAATGTGTTCTGTATCTCTGTTCATTTCAGGAACAGGCCCCATCAAGGTTGCTAGTTTGTTTCAGCTCACTTTGGCTTTTGAACTGAGTGGGTGGAGAGAGAGGGAGTGGACTGAATATGTGAGCTTGCACTGCTGTTACTCAAGTAAACGATCACTTACATGCCTAAATGGGCATGTACCTAGATTGCCATGCACTATAATCTCTTCAACAGGTGGTAGTAAATAATTGACTCTGTTTAAAAATAAATTTAACCATGTCTTAGCAACCTGCAGGCATTAATTTCTTTCTTTCTTTTCTTTTTATTATGTTGTTGTTGTTGTTGTTGCTGTTGTTGTTGTTGTTATTTTTTTACTTGCAGAAGCAAGAACTTTTTATCCTCTGTGATTAGATGATGAATAGAACACAATTTGCTCCACTGTTTCAGAAAATGACACCCATCTGTAACATAGGGCCACTGAACAGACCACAGGTTTGTTGTTAAAACCTGTTTGGTCACCTATCTGAAGCCAGGTGCAAAACAGGGTTGGGGAGAGGAAAATGTTTTTGGAGTACACATCCCAGAATACCTTAGCTTGTATGATCGGTGCCCATGCTGACTCAGGAGTGTCCTGGGGGTGTCATCCAAAGAAAGAACAGGTAATTTTCCCCATCAGTGGGGCAGCCAGACCTTAGCTTGTTATCATTATAATCCAAAAATGTTGATATTTCCCCAAGACTTCTTAGTTTCAGCAGCATATTTTAAGGAAGCAGAATCTTGCATTTTATTGCCCCCACCATGAGCAGATTTGTAGTGAATGTCTCATGTAGGTCTGCCAACGTTTTATGTAGAAATCCCAACCTACAGTTTGCCTATCACCAATGTATAGTACAGAAAGTTATTTTGCCGTTATGTAGCTTTTTTGACACATCAAAAAAGTGTGGGCTTTTAGTTGTGTCATCTTGTTTCTGTAGTACGGTCTTTAGTAAGGCTACAGTACTAAAACTAGCCTATAAAGATTAATTAATTCCATATTGCTCGAACCAGAGACGTCACATCCATTAGCCTTGAAAGGGCTCTCATCCTTCTCCTCATTAGAAAATATAGGGGCTCACTGGGGGGAAAGGTTAGATTCTTCAGTCACAAAAGCACTGTGCCAACCCACTCTTATGATTAAAATAACAAGAAGGAAGAGATCTGTAACTGTGCACAAGGAGGTGCAACTCAGTCCAAAAGCAGCCTCGAAATCAATATAGTGGCATTTTTGAGTCTCTTTCAACAGCAGCAGCAAGAAAAACAAAAGTATTATGGCACTTTAAAGATTAACCATTTTTTCCAGTGCTTCCATGGATGACAAGCCACTTGTACAGACAGAATATATCCCCATATCAATTTTAGTCATGTAGGAAATTGGCTTATTCTATTAGGCCATTATCTAGTCCAGTAATGGTAGCTAAAATTGGCAACTTTCTAGAACCTGCTACCTAACCTGCTAAATTCAGGGGCTGAGAATTTTATTTGGAATGTTCTCTGCGCAAAAAGTTGCTTTCTCAACTCTGAGTTATTGTCATTTCATCCCAAACTGATTTTTACAATCCAAGATAGGCATATTCCAAATCCTCCTAAATACTTAGGCCAATGTTCTGTTATTAGTGATGATTTAGTGATGTTTACATATGTGTTGACGTATTTTTCAGCAGTTGAGTCAATGGACCTATTCTGTAGTATAGACTAGCAAATAGGATATTAGCCTTAGAGTAATTTAGAGGTGTATATTGTTTCCCTGCTCATTTAACCTATATGCAGAATACATCATGTGAAAGGATGGACTGGAGGAATCCCAAACCAGAATTAAGATTGCTGGAAGAAAGATCGACAACCTCAGATATGCAGATGATACCACTCTGATGGCAGAACGTGAGAACCTCTTAATGAGGGTGAAAGAGGAGAGTGCAAAAACGGTCTGAAGCTCAACATAAAAAAAAAACTAAGATCATGGCCACTGGTCCCATCATCTCCTGGCAAACAGAAGGGGAAGATATGGAGGCAATGACAGATTTTACTTTCTTGGGCTCTATAATCACTGCAGATGGTGACAGCAGCTGTGAAATTAAAAGATTCCTGCTTTTGGGGAGGAGAATGATGACAAACCTAGACAGCATCTTAAAAAGGAAATACATCACCTTGCCAACAAAGGTCCACATAGTCAAAGCTATGTTTTTTTCCATTAGTGATGTATGGAAGTGAGAGCTGGACCATAAAGAAGCCTGACTACTGAAGAATTGATGCTTTTGAATTATGGTGCTGGAGGAGACTCTTGAGAGTCCTGGACTGCAAGGAGATCAGGCGTATGCATTCTGAAGTAAATCAACCCTGATCGCTCACTGGAAAAACAGATCCTGAAGCTGAGGCTCCAGTACTTTGGCTATCTCATGAGAAGAGAAGACTCCCTGGAAAAGACCCTGATGTTGGGAAAGTATGAAGGCAAGAGGAGAAGGGGATGACAGTGGACAAGATGGTTGGATACTGTGACCGAAGCTACCAACATGAATTAGACCCAACTCCAGGGAGGCAGTGGAAAATAGGAGGGCCTGGCATGCTCTGGTCCATGGGTCACGAAGAGTCAGACACAACTTAACGACTAAACAACAAATTTAGACTAAACAACAACAAATGACTAAACAATAACAAATAGTTATTGACTGCACCCTGCCATGTGTGTTCATCTTCTGGACAAGGTCTATTTCAAACAGACCATTTGTTCTCTGTTGTGTAGCTGCTGATTGCTGATGTTAACAGTATTTTTCCCACCATCCATATAATGCAATGCTTGTCTCAATAACAACAGTGACAAAATCTATGCCTTCTCATGTTTTGTTCTTCATCCAAAAGGTTTGCTTTGTTCTGAGATTTGCTCTGAGGGTTTTGTTTGTGCTATATCTCCTTCCCTTAAAGTTCATTTCTGTGGTCAAGAGCTTCCTGGTCAGAAGCCTTCCATTAGCTTCAAATTATCAGGGAAACAAGCAAGCTTTAGAAAAGAGCAATAGCATGGAAATTGATTTCTTACGTATTTATAGAAAGATTTCTACTGTTTGCTGAACACCAGCGGTTTTCTGATGTGGCATTTAAAAGTGAAGTTTGAATACAGATTCCTATAAACCCTGCACTCCTTCACAATGACCAGGGACAAACAAACGAGAAGAAAGGGTAATTTTCCCCTACCTAGAAAAGCCCTAATTGTGGACAAGTTATGAGTACGTAGAAATTATGTAGGATGTATCCAGAGTAACATGCAAAAATTCAAAATGCAGAACGTGCATCAAGGAAGCAGCCCCTTTAAGTGAGAGCGTGGAGGCTAAGGAGCTGGGTCAAAGGTTATTATTGGAATCCCCACAACGTCCTCAGATTGCCACTGAAGACAGAAAAACATATGCCGAGGACTTTTAACGCAGCAACATAACATATTAAACCCCCACCCTTTCCTGTGGTTCTGCACTTATGTCAAGGTTGAACAACTGTATTTCAATTTTTTTTTTGTTTCCCTACATCACAATGTGGAGCTAAGGCGAAAATAATAAGTGTACCCTCTTACCACATTTCACATACGCATAAGCTCTCCTTGCATATGCAGGTGTCTGGTAGAAAGGAATGGAAGCACAGGCCATGTTGCAGCCAACCTGGAGAGGAGAGGATATCATTGTGAGCTCCATTGTTGTGATACACTCTAATGTTGTGCCATATAAATACTGCCATTGTGAATATAATGGAATTCTCCAGCCATTCACATTAGGTCCATTGCTCTTTTATTTATTCCAAATTACTAGTCTTATTTATCTCAGCAGGGTTCTATAATATTACTCTCTAGGCCATTCAGGCTCCTATGGGGATGATTTATTTCATCATTTCCAGGGTAGCATTTCCCATAATTGTACTGAGTTTAAAAACATTAGAACCCCAGGGGATAGACAAGGAACTATAGCATTAGCAGCATGCTCATATAAATCAATTTATTCCTGGAAGAGGGAAAAAAGAATGAGAAAGAATTTAATGAGATTGTGCAGGAACTACAAAGGCACCACAATATGTATTAGAACTTGTAGGAATATAACGAGATCACAGGAATATCTTCTGAAAGCAAAACAATTCACACAGTCATTTTTCTATAACTTAAACTGAATAAAGAGGTACTAACCCTAGGAACTATAAGATTCAAAGGTATTTTTCTATTGTCCGATACATTTTATTACTACTTCAGCAACGTTTTTATTACAATTCCTCACCATAACAATATGCACCTATAAAGGCCATTTTGAAAAAGCAACCATAATCATGTGTCTCTTTGGCCCTAATAAAATATTGCCCAAAGATATGTTTTGAAAATATAGATATATAGATATATACTGTAAATATAACAATTGTTTCTTTCCACCTCATCTACAGCACTGGTGTTACCAATAGGTTTTTGGAGGGTATCTGGAAGAGTCTATAATTTTAAACATGGGATCTGATACCCAGATCCTGAGGCTCAGCATAAGCTGTCTGTACAGTTGGACTCCTATATCCATAGGGGATCAGTTTCACAATCTACTGTGGATGCTTGAAACTGCATGTTCAAACTCTGAATCCAGTCTCTCCTTTTCCTCCTTTTGTCATGCACAGTTGATTATTGCTGTCCAAGGGAAAAAGAGGCCTTCAGCTTCCAGACTGGGGTGATCACTGCTGTCAAAGTTGATCACATAATCTACCTCCTTGATGTTCCATACACTCCCAGTTCAACTAGACAGAACTGCATACCTAGTTATTGGTTTCGGATCCATAGCGAATTTTTTAAAAGGCACACAGTACAATAGCTTAAAATAAAAAAAGAATCCACTGCACATGGTAACTGCAGTTTGCTAACTTTTAATGCTACATAAGTACAAACTCCCTGGAATCTCTATGGTGAGCTATATAGGAATGAAGATTGTGTCACATCAAAGGGTGAGTGGGTATAGCTTTTCTAAGGCCATTCTTTGAATGGTTGCACATAAAAACTGGAAACCATATCAGAGGGGTGAGAGGGACTTGACTATGGGCTCGATCCCATGTGAGAAAAGAACCCCAGTTATACTGATTCTTTTCATACTTCTATACCTAGATATATAGGCAGGGGTTTTCCCAAGAGGGAATGGCCCTTTCTCTTCTGCAAAGCTCTCTTTCCTTACTCACAAGGATGCTTCTGAGTAATGCATTCCTTTGTGTGTGTGTAGTGGCAGCTTCAATGTATTGATATACCTTTTAAAATATATTTTTAAGGGTATAAGCACAGTGGCCATGAAATGGCCACAGCACCTAGAAACTTGATCCCTTTGCAAAGGAAATAAATCAACATCAATGTTCACAAACACTGAAACAATAAGAAATGAAGTGATTCATCATCAGTACAATTTAAAACCAGTGAGGAGAAAATAAACTAGAAATAAACTGCTAGACAGGAAAATGGCTATATTTTTGGTGCTCAAAATTTATGAAATGATCTAAAAACTGGCATATAATTGGGGTTCTTTTGCCAGTTGTGATCAAATTCTAGGTGTGTTGTATAAGAGGACTAAATATCCCTCCTTTCCCATTGCTTTAGACTGTTCTTAAGTATTTTAATTCAATAGATGCTTTAATATACAGTATGTTGATTTGAATTTAACATTGTAATTTATTATTGGTTTTATCCACATCTGTTCTTTCCCCTATTTTGTAAGCCTCCTTGAGCTCCTGTACTGAGAGATAAGTGGGATATTAAATGTGCAGGCGGGCAGGGACATACATACATACATACATACATACATACATACATACATACATACATACATACATACATACATACATACATACATACATACATACATACATACATACATACATACATAGCAAGTATAGCAAGTAAACAAGCAAGCAGAGGATGTGGAGGGCAATCTTTTCTTTTGTTGTCTTTACAATCTAGCATTGTTTCACTTTAATGGTAATCTAATGACATGTTATGTCACTCACTAATAAATAAAAATTAAACAAAATAAAATCAAGCTTTCTCTTGCCCCTCAAGGAAGGGGAAATGAAAGAGAAACAGACGGGGAAGACCTCAGAGAAAGTACAGAATATGTCAGTATGTAGCTAATACTTTTTTTTAAAAAAAAATCCAGTTTTCCTCTGCTCCCCAACAGACAGGGAGACAAGAGAGGTTGAAGGGACATGGAAGCCAATAGACAGGAACAGGCTAAACAGGGTTACTGTGTGGCTTCCGGTCCTAAAACCACCTGCTCTTTCTATATGGATCCAAGGATCATTCTAAATCTCAGACCACACTTTCAGCAACCCTGTTTAGACTAGTCCAGTCCAGGATAACCTCACTGTCTCTGCCCCCTTCAGACAATTTTAGAAAAGGGCAAGTGGGTGAGGAATCCATTAAATGCTGTTCTCTATTTTTAAGCTTCCTGGGCTTTCCCACTGCTTCTTCCACCTCTTTTCTTAACATAAACAATCTGTTAAGGAGAGAAGATGCAATAGCAGCATCTGTTAGTGCTAGCCACTTTCCATCTGGAAGTCGCCTATGAGTCCACACGTGCCACAACATAAGGGCTTTGTTAATCTGGTGTATAATTAATGTTATGTTAGCAGTACCCTGTTGTCTCAATCAGCTGAGATAAATATGCCAGCTAAAACATGCAGAACAGAAGTGCATATCTACTACTGCATCTGTTTTATATATTCACTTCCCGAAATACTGAAATACAATGAATTCCGGGTCCCTGTGCCTCAACAAGGCAATGACCAAAGCTCAATGGATTGTATACAGAGTACAACGAGTATGAAAGTTCCCTACTTTGGAAGGGTTTCCAGTTTCTATTGCATTTGTAAACTCCTCTGAAGCATCACGGTGGTAATCTACTTTCTGGAAAGCGACACCTATGTGATAATAGGTTTCAAACACCTGAAATGAAAGAACCAGGATTATTCCCAATGGTTTAGCTGTATGCTTCAAGCTGTAGTCAGAAAAATCTGTATGTTTATAAACATGCCTAATCACTATTTCTATCTGCTATTGAAGTTTGCTGTTAAATCTGTTTTTTAAAAAACTGGTTTTTAGTCTCAATAGCAAACTCCAGATGTTCAAAATCAGGAGTTACACTTATTATACTAATGAAATCTTTGCAACTTAAACTTGCAGCTGGGGCTACAAGGAATCAAGAAATATACAAATGTTGTTTAATATACGAAAAGAATTAAGTGATTAATAGGGCACATTTTTCAGGAGTGGGAAAATATACCCTACTACCCACATGCACCTAGTTAGCTTAATCGAATTTCATTGGCTGGACCTGTTGCACTTTGCTCTTAAGACTGTTATAAACAACAGACTTTAGGACAACATAATATTCACGACACCTCCCATTCTAACATCCAGCCTGATTAATATATTTGGAGAAATCAAAGGTACCAGAATTTGGCAACCTTACTGTTTTGGACAACAACTCCCAGAATTCTCTAGCCAGCATGGGCAAAACAACAACAGTAAGGTTTCCAAACTGTGAAAGATATTCACAGACAGTTTAATGGATACTAATAAAGATATTACTCTACTTTCAATGTATCTTATATGCCAAGGTGGGAGACCATGCATATGTTGTCGTTGTCATGGTCACCATTAGCTGTGCTGGCTAAGACTGATGGGAGTTGCAATGGAGTAACACTTGGAGGTAGGGGTGGCTCATGGAGGGGTGCCATGACAGTGCCACACACCAGCATTTCAGGATGAGTCTACCCTATTCACAAGCTATCCATGTTTGGAGGATCACACACTCCCTACCCTTGTGGTGCGCAGCAAGACCTCTTGAGCAGATCATGATGGACTGTGGGGATTTCTGGATAGATATGAATTCCGTGAACAGAAATCTGAGTGTGAACAACTGCTCATGAGTAGGCTTTTTCTATGCAGACAAAACACACTAATATAAGGCAGCTACAGACAGAGCTAGGACATAATTCCTTATAAGCAGTGAAGTTAAGACCACAGCCAAGTCTCCCAAGTAACACATGAAGGCAGCTGAGGCAGAAACTATAAAATAGCAGAGAAGAAACAGACCTCACGCCCCCACCCCTCCGTGCTGCACATTCATTCACTGGTTATAAAATGATACAGAACCAACCTGTGGTTCTTCAAACAATTGTGGACTTCAGCTTCCAGCAAGCCTAGTAAAGGCTCAGGAATGCTGGGAGTTATAGTTCTACATCAGATTCCCCATCTCTGTTTTATATAAGCAAATGTGTATTTAATACAGTGCAGTTTGACCCTGAATACGTTTTTCCTTCTAAATGTTTATATTGAAATTTACCAGCTTGGTACATTCAGGACCAGGTACATATTGCGATGGAAACTTCTTTTGGCTCAAGGAAATTAATAGCTTTCTATAATGTTCAATTGCCTGAAAACAGAACAAAAACAGTGCAAGGAGTTTGGATGAAGGTGAGCATGCTGAAGATTGTGAGTGGCAGGAAGAGAGCCTGGAAAAATTATTTTAAGACTACAGTTCCCAGAATCCCCTAGCTGAGATGCAACCTTGCCATGCCACCTGGGGAATTCTAGAAGCTGTACTCCTCGAAGTAACTTTTCCAAGCAATAGATCTTCCATTTCAGAAATGAAAGCAAAATGCCAAGACAGGTAGCCCCCATTGCTGCTTTTGGGGGGATTTTTTCAGGGAGGGAGAATGCAAATTAAATAGCATCCACAATTAAGGAAGGAAGGGTGTGCTGCTTATATATATCCACATAGTGCTTAGTGCTCTCTGTCCATTTTACTATTAAATTATACTAAATAGCATCCACAATTAAGGAAGGAAGGAAGGGTGTGCTGCTTATATACATCCACATAGTGCTTAGTGCTACACAGTGTCCCCCACTCCGTTGCTGGTACGCAATTTACCAACTTTGGAAGGATAGAAAACGGAGTCAACCTAGAGCCAGTACCCCCCCCCCCCATTGTTGGTACTCAATTTACCAACCCTGGAAGGATAGAAAACTGAGTCAACCTAGAGCCAGTAGAATCTTGACTGCAGTACTGCAGTCTAACTATTGTGCCATGAAGCTCCAGGAAGGGAGGGAGGAAGGATCCCACAGGGATTCCCAGTTCTTACAGGCTTTGTCCTTGGAAGAACACAAAAGCATGGGATTCTAGAATGAACTGGCATGGTTCCAGAACTTTCAAGCAGGAATCAAACCAGTATGGATAAACTCAGACAGAAAACTGATTCTAAAGGATAGTCATGTTAGCTGGAGCCAGAGCCAGTCCTGTGACACCTTAAGGAGTACAACATTTATCATAGCATGAACTTTTGTGGACTATATAGCTCGCTTTATTGGGCACATGAAATGTTATCCAGATTACATGTGTGCAATTTTAGATAAAGCTCCATGCTATTTTCTTTTTAAAATGTCCTGCAAAGTGTAGCAGGACTCTTTGCTATTCTAGATTGTGGGGGGGGAGTTCAACTGTAGTCTCTCATTTGTTCATACCTTAAAATGGACTCAGGTTGCCATTTCTCTCTCTACCCACTGGAAATTAAGTGGCAAGGGAAAGCTGTTGTCACCAAGAAAGAGAGAAAAAGAGGAAGAGGAAGCAAGGAAGGTCACACTTGGTCCTACTATTGCATAAAGTGAAGCAGTGAATTTTGGATGTCACAAAAAATCTGTAAACCTTTAGTTATTTGATCTACTACTATTATATTTTAAAAATAATACAAGATACATTTGCTAGATTTGCTGCCTCACGTGCTGATTTTGGATCACCAGGTGTGTTAACATGGGTGAGAGATGCCATTTATCACCCTGGCTCAGTCAGCAACATGCCTTGGGTGAGCTCTGGAAAAAAATATCCCAGTTAGAGGCCAGTTTTGTCACCCTCACACTGAGCAAGCCAGGGAGATGATGTCAGTCTGAGGACAGAGTATAAAGGTGGGTCTGAACCACCAGAGGATGACCAAGGAGTGCCTATAAGGCCTCAGTTTTCCCTAGGTTTCACTTCACAAAGCATTCTGTTTCCCTCCCCCCCCCTTTTTTTTCTTTTTGCCTGAACTTTCTTAGCTACCTCCTTCCCAACCTGAGACAGGGGCTGCTTACCTGAAACCAGCGCTTGGCCCGTTCGCAGGTTATAGCGGCGAACAAATGTTTCTGTGCTTGAGCTTGAATGCTTGCTACAGAAGCCAAGAATGCTGAAGGAATGATGGGTTTGACCTCTCTGGCAGACTGGAGTGGAGAATGGAAGCTGGGTGGCTTGGTCAAGGCAGTGGCTGAAGTGGTTGAAGGATCCATGGCTTCCTGACCTGGTTCATTCTGGTGGTGCTGGATGGAGCCTCGCGCCACTGCCATCTTCCCTCCTCATCCCTCTGAGGTGGGTCAGTCATGGATAGAGTGCCATCACCATAGTAACAGCAGGACAGGTATGGAGCAAACCCGCCCACACACGTTTCAAAGCCTGAGCTATTGCAACCATAGAGATAGAATGGAAAGCTGGGACAGAATCCTGTTGGCTCATGTGATCATGGAAGGGCAATTGTACAAACTTGCCTGCTTCTCTACAGTTTTTCCTTCATGTGACCGGTAGAGCACTAGTTCCAAAATCTAGCATGTGAAAGATAACCTGCCAGAGGGAGGGGGAAACCACCCTTGCATGTTTTCCCTTGTACATATGTTTTTTTATTAAAAAGCTTCTGGCCTTGATCTTACTTTAAATTGTCCTTCTGCTCAGCAAGCTGTGGAGAGTGAGAAGGAAAAGAAGCAAGAAACCCATCATCTTTGCCCCAGTCATAGACAGAAGAAGCCATTCAGTGACAGGATTTCTGTTCAGTACAGTTTGTTTAGTGCTCATTCTTTGACTGTTCAATTCAAGATGTGACTTGGTTGCCCCAAATAATTCTGGGGGAAAAACTGAAAATAAGGAGTGAAGTTGCCCCAAAGATTAACGATTAAAGCAATTGGGGGACGAGGGATGTAGCAGGAAGAAAGATTGGAGTAGATCTGATAATTTCTAAATTACTAATCAGGTTGTTGCACAAATGATCTCCAATTTAAAACCTGCAAAATAAACCTCAGGAGTGTATGTTCTGCTCCTTCTGATATTTCATAGTAAGACCAACTTGACATTCTCAGTCAGCAAGGAGTGAAGCATACATGAAATAGGTGTCCCAAAGTGATATCTCACCCCAGGTAGCAGTAGACTCACTCCCAAATAGCTGGGATAATGCCAATTGTTGTTCTTGTATGTCTTCCTGTGAGCCATTGGCTTATTCAATTGTTCAAAATCCAAAAAGGCTAAATGCATAAAGGACAGTGCACTAGCCCCACCTCTCCATCACCATTTTGGTCATGTGGAGTTGTCAATATCAAAAGTATGACACTCAAACAATAGCCTCAGAGTATTATAAAACTTTATAATACCTCTTGGTTGTTTGAGTCTGTGGTGGTTCATCATAGCTGACATCTCTTGAAAGGGTTAAATACCAGTGTGAACCAAATAATCATGACAATTATATTAAAGTTAATTTTTATACTCTTTGCTATTCCATCTTGGTAATCCTCTCCTTAAATTAATTGTTTTAAATTGAAATTGTAATTGTAATTTTATGATTTTATATATTTTTATACTGTTTTATTTTGTAAGCCGCCCCGAGTAGACATGGTCTAGAGGGGCAGGGTAAAAATCAAATAAATAAATAAATAGTATATGTCATTTAATTACTTCTGCCTCATTCACCAGGAATGTCAAAGTGCAGTAATTAATTAGTGTGGTCTCCTGGATGGCTTGCCAGAAATGTGGCTTCCCACCTTGATCCCTTTGTCTTCATTCATTGCGAAGTTAACAGAAAAATGAGTTCAGACAACATACACTTCTCTGATTATACAAAATTTGTTCATCCACATTGCTTCCATGCATAAAAATCCAGACATTATTGAAAACATATAACTTTTTGAGAAGTTAAAGACATGTGACCTCTAGATAGTCTCACAGTTGTGAGCAAAGCTATAGGTACATACTGTATATTTAAAAATATATGAAGACTAAACTCCATGGAAGTTCCATCACCATTTTGGTCATGTAAAGTGACAGCTTTGAAGATGGGAAACACTTCAATCTGTGGAGGCCCTCCAGGCAATACAACACAAGAAAATCAAGATTCAGGTTCACATGCAGACCCTTCATCGAGTGACAGGTCTCTTGATGGGGTATGTCTAGCATACTCTCCCTCCTTGCAGGTTTAATGTGCCGGATTATGAACAACAAATATAACAACTGTGACAACTTGATTTAGGCATAATGTGCAAAAAGACTCATGGTTGAGGTGGGGACAACTCCCCAATTGTATGATGTGTGAAGGGACATATAGATACTCAATAGCTGCAGTCATGTTGGGTTGGATTAAGAGTTACTCAAACTTAGAGCTGATCCACAAAAATCAATGGATCTTAAATAATGACTTTTTTCTATCTTGCTGATGGTGTACTTAAAATATGACAAACTCTTGGTTTAACTCATTTATTGGAAAGCAAGCTCCATTTAACGTATGTGTCTGACCTTCTGACAGACGTAAAATTGAGCTCCATAGTACTGACTTTTGAAACAGTTTTGCAGGTGGCAGATTGTTTACAACTTGAGTGTCCTAATTGGTTACAAGGGAAAATGTTAAAATACATTGGCCATTATTGTCTGATAAGTCTCAATTAGAGATGGGGGCTTCATATTCTTATACAAATACAAAACCTGGTGGCTCAGGTGGCTGGTTTGATGAATACTGTACTGACTTCCAGATGCTGTCAGACCACTTACCAGGCAGTGCATGGTGTGCATGGCTGGCATCATCTTCTGCGGCCCAATCACATCAGTAGCTTGGCTGCCACAGCCCTGCCTCCCAGCTCACCCACCACTCCACAGCTGAGCAGGGAGGGTCATCCTCCCACCTTCTTGCTGGAGTGACTGGGCAAACAGGGAGGTGGGGTTGCTGCAGTCAAGCTACTGCAGCGATTGAGGTACAGAAGATGACGCCAGCCACGCACACCACATGCAGCCTGATAAGTGGTCTGGCAGGGTCTGGGGTTGAGTGTTCATCAAACAGTCTTTGTATTTGCATACAAATACGAAGTCCCCATCTCTAAAAGACCCACTCAGCAATTAATTCAATGGCCCCCCTCTCAAGTAAGGGACTAGCAATAGCAAACAGTCTTTGTATTTGCATACAAATACAAAGTCCCATCTCTACAAGACCCACTCAGCAATCAATTCAATGCCCCCCTCTCTAGTAGGGACTAGCAATAAGATACTGACCATTATTTTTACATTGTTATTGTCCCTCCTTCCTTCTTCAATGGCTGTGATTTTGTATTATTTATGTAGGAGCAAACCCTGCTTAATTCATTGGGATTTATTTGACTAGCCAGTAAACACATGAAAGATCCTTCAATGGCTGTGATTTTGTATTATTTATGTAGGAACAAATCCTGCTTAACTCACTGGGACTTATTTGATTAGGACCAGGTCACCCATCAGCTGGTAAACACATGAAAAAATTGTGCCTTGAAGATCAGAATAACCCAAATATAAATGGGTCCTTCTACAAAGGCCAAGAGAATTCATTAAGTTAATTTATCACTTTTTTCTTCTCGGCTGTGATTTTGTATTATTTATGTAGGAACAAATCCTGCTTAACTCACTGGGACTTATTTGATTAGGACCAGGTCACCCATCAGCTGGTAAACACATGAAAAAATTGTGCCTTGAAGATCAGAATAACCCAAATATAAATGGGTCCTTCTACAAAGGCCAAGAGAATTCATTAAGTTAATTTATCACTTTTTTCTTCTCTTTGGAAACACCAGAAGACTTTAAAGGACACTTTTGCCTATAGGTCAGAGACAGAATTAGGAATAATTCATTCTGATGGTCTCTCCAGCAGTCAATGAACTAATTTTAATCAACACATATGAGGTGCTTCTTACAGTTATTTGCAGTCTTCATTCAGCACTTCCTCTCTCCAGCCATTTCTCTAACAATGGCCGATTTCCACCACCTAGTGGATAAATTCTATACTACAGGAAATTTCATGCAGACATATATAGTACTCTCCTGAGGTCTACCCAGATTTCCACCACCTAGTGGATAAATTCTATGCTACAGGAAATTTCATGCAGACATATACGTATAGTACTCTCCTGAGGTCTACCCAGTAGATTTTACTGTATGGCCCCCATATTTATAAAACATCTTTGGATAAATTCTCCAGCATGAGGATATGGCGTCCTATCCATAAATAGGTGGCAGCATGGCAACACGTTCATGTGAGCCTCCAATGAGTACAAAATTAAAACTAGAAGTATTTGTGCTGAACTCATTAGATGATGAAGAAATACATAACATCACAAACTAAACAAAAACAAAACAAAAAAGATTACTAAGATTGACACCTGGTAGCTTCAATGAACCAACTTAAGCAAATTCAGAAGTTTCAGTCAATTCCTCACTGATAAATATACAGTCTCTACTATGAATCTTGAGGGCGCACACACATGCACCAAGCAGCCCCCGAGAATCACAGCACAGACTCTTTATTTTCTGTCAAGGAATGGACTGAACCTTATAAATGTGCTTACATTTTGCAAAATAAATTTCAGCCGTTGTGTGCGTTAGAGAAAGTTGTACATATTGTATGTGTGATGTTGCTGCTTTCCCTCTTCAAAATACATAGATTTGTTTCTTTTCTGACTTCTTTTTGTCAAGCATATTTATATTGAACTTTTCAATACAAAATGCATCATGGTAACTAAAATGACTGAAAACATATTTTTTTTCAAAACACAAAATGAAACATGAGACACCACAAAAATGATGGCTGCAGCAGACTAAACAAGGCAGTATGTAGTAATCCTTCCATCTATTTTAAAACAACGAGCAGGAATAACATTTGCATAGTCTTGGCCTTTGCACACATTGTTTATACTGTATATTAAACATTCAGGGGGACTTATTCTGTAGCAAGAATGCACAGGAATGCTTGCAATGGGAGATAAAGATTCAGATCAGCTCCAAATCTGTCAACATATGGGGACTGGGTGGATCAGGGACCAGGAAGTCTTGAAGGCTTCCCCTACTTTACCCACCCCACATTCCAGTTCTTCTCCCTTTACCCTCTTTCCACTCCAGATCTGCAAGGGGAGAAGATGCTTCCTCAAAGGTGATAGGAGAGGGATCCAAGGTCAGATCTCCTTGTCTGAATTCAAGCTTTGCCTCTGAGTTGGGTGGGAGATTTCCAATCTCTTTGATGGCCTGTCTTATCCTATGCTATCCCAATTTTGGGTTGTGCCGTTTAGCAAATAAAACTCTTACAGCCAAATTTAATGTAAGTATCATGATATTCTGTAGTCGGGATAATATACTGTAACTAACTTCTTTTCATGTGTAATCAATTCTATACACTCAAGGAGCTTCCGATTTT